ACGTGAGCATTTCAAATACAATTGTAATTAAATACATTTGTGTGGTGAAAATACATCCCTCAAATTTATTGTCACTGTCCAGAGCAGGAAGAAAACTACGTTCTGCATCGAATGCAGTGTCTCTCAATCAAGCACAAGTGTTTAGTGACTTTGTGATTACGGTGCTAGTCCAGGGCAAGAATAGTGACGAAATCGACGTTCCCAGGCAGACCGGCTAAATAAGTGCCTGTGACAACTTGTGATACTTTCCAACCTGGTTTCCATCCATATTTTTGCCTGGAATATTCTAAATGCGGGGGTCTTCCAGCGAGTTGCAACAACAAAAAATTTTCTAGCTAGTGCTGCGCGTCTAGGTCGTCTCGGTTCTTTGTTGGTCTATACCAAAATGTAAACGACAAAAAAAGCTGCTTGAAGCTCTGTACTTTTTTCCCGTATTACGTCCAAGCTGATTACATTTTTTTGTGATTATATTTCTATTACGTTACTAGAGCCTCGCACACTAACTCCCGAGTGTCCGATGCAAAATTAAAATGAGATACCCAGAAACCCTTTGCAGATGCCCTGAAGTCACTGACGCAAATATTGAGGAATGTATTTGGAAAAGTATTTGGAGGAGACCAAATACATTTGGTTGTATTTGTATCTTGTACTTAAATGCTTTTTTGGAAATGTAATTAGATTTGTAATTAAATATATTTTTGACAAAGTATTTTGTATTTGTATTTCGATACATATTTGCACGTACTTTGCCCATCCCTGGTTTGAACCAATCGCCAGACGAGGAGCCCGTTGTCGTCACGCTTCGGCGGCGCACTTTAGTTCACCTTTCTGCCGCCGCCTCGGTGGGGTCTCAGGCATCGTTCCCGGCGCAATTATTACCGCGCCTGTTTGCTCGATTGGTGCGGCACCCAAACTTCTGTTCGGGCTAGAACTTGGTCAACAGTATCTGAGACGTGCCTGACATCCATTTCAATCGTCGAATAAAACTTCGAGACTGCCTTCATGGTCCCTTTAAGGGCTATAGAAGACGTTTTATTTGACTTCCACACAGCTAGTTTATTTCAGAAGTTTCGCGTTATCAATGTACACGCTGTCTGTAGCTACAGATTTGTCACTAGCCTAAGACTAGAACAAATTATGGGTACAAACTTTTTGACAAACCTTGGACAGCTCTCTGAAAATATTCACGCGTATTCTACTCGTCGTGCAGAATGTTGGGAGGTGATCACTGCAAGAACCAACTATGGCACACAAATGCTCAAACATACTATCCCAAAAATACTTAACTTACTTGAAGATGAAGGATTAGAATTCAGTACATTGTCCCTTAGAGAAATTAGACTTGTTTTCTCTACAAATGAATCTGAGTATGAACCAAACATGTGGGGCCTTATAACTTCTGTTTGCAAATAGGTCACTTTTCTGTTATAGCCGATGATAAAATATATAGTCTGAAACACGCTTTGTTAAATTGCGGTAAAAAAAAATTTGTGAATGCTTTTTCTTTGTTTTTTTTTTTAGTTGCTCCTACTGTGCCTTGTAGGCGGTCAAGGACTTGTCAAGCTGTGCCATATTGCTTTTTTCCTTGATCGCCAGCATCAACGTTCGATGGAAATAAACTCGTTATTATTATTATTATTATTATTATTATTATTATTATTATTATTATTATTATTATTATTATTATGTTCCGTTCTTGGCCCCCTTCTGTTTTCAGTTTTTGTGAATGATGTTTCGGCTGTGATCCGTCATTCTTCCTTTCTACAATATGCAGACGACATTAAGATGTTTATAGAGGTACGGGACGAACGCGACTGTGTTCTGCTACAAAATGATGTATATGCTTTCGAAAACTGGTGCAATCAGAATGCCCTAAAACTAAATAGTTCGAAAACTAAAGTCATGTCCTACACTCGAAAGACACATAATATTATATTCTCTTATGACATTCAGTCAGTTCTTTTGACACGTGTGAATGAAATCAAAGACCTTGGAGTTGTATTTGATAGTACATTACGCTTTTCGAGTCATGTTGACCATATTGTGAGCTCAGCTTTACGTACGCTTGATATCACGTGCCGCATTACTAAAGAGTTTAATAACCCTAGTACTTTTGTCACACTGTACAGTGCTTTATGTCGACCACACGTCGAGTATGCCTCTGTTGTATGGAATGGAATCTGCGCGACAACCTCGGCTAGAATCGAACGTGTTCAGAATAAGTTCTTATGTATCTACAGACATCGTTTCTCGTCGCGCAATGCGTCTACCTCAAACGATGATCCAGCAGTCCCAGTCCAACATAGCTTGGCATTGCCCACCCTGCGGCGTAGGAGAGAACCTGCCGACATCCTATTTCTGTACAAACTTATTCATGGCATCACTGACTGCACATCATTGATATCAAATGTGCGTTTGAAAATTCCCGTAAAAACTACAAGGCAAAATGCATCCTTCTACAATGCTCCCGTAACAAATCTTCACGACCCCGTGTCGAGAATTGGGCACACCTACAATTCCTCTTTTACAGACTCTATTGATATATTTAACAATAACACACCGGAGTTCATCAGAGCGCTGAAGTTCCTCACCTAAATTTGACTTCCCTTTTTTTTTGCACCTGATTAAGTTTCTCAGAACCAATTTTTATACTCTCGCTTTCCTTTCCTTTCGCTATCGTGGTGGTATAGCCTAGCGAGTTTATGTGACATATGTGATCTTTTTTAAGTGTTTTATAGTTTACTGTTTGTTTGTTGTGTGTAGTGTTGATTTCCATGTTTCCTGAGTGCACCTGTACTAAGACCGCAAGGTTGTTCCTGGGCACTTCAATAAAAACATTGATTGATTGATTGATTGATTGATTGATTGATTATTATAACTGTTAAGCGACGCCTTAAACATAGTTTAAAGTGTCCCCAGAGCTCTTGAGGTCTAAAAAATATGCCACAGTAAAGTTGAGTTAGGTAAATAATCCCACCCTTGTTAGGAAGACCGATGCAGTCAGTTGATCATGTTAGACAAGTGCAACAACCATTCCCAGGACTGTTTTGGTGATAAAGCTTAAACCTACCTTGAAACTGAAACCAGCGTTCTTCGGCTATCTACGCGGTTCTGGGATATAGTTATCCACACTAAATTTAATATCTTGACGGCGCTTGGAAGCCATCGATCAACGGTGATGGACGACCTATGGGCACGGTCTGGAAGGAGTCAGGTGATCTGATTGGTTCACCGGGGGCCGCATTTTTTCTCATTCATATTGTTATGCTCCAACGGAGCATGTTAATTTTCACATTTAAATAATTCATTACATGTGAACCTGAAACAACCTACCGTAGAAGGTAAGCACAGCTAGCACATGTGGCCTGCAAGAAGTAATATGCTATATGCATACTAACGCTGCACTTTTGTGAAACAAGAGTATATCTCAGACTGTATTATCAAAGTAGGCTCGAGCTTACTAACACGTAGTATATTAAAACACCCCTTTAAGCATAGGCACTTTAGTTTCAGTTGACTGCAGAAGCAGTATTTATATCCTTGCTTAGCACACAGCTAAAGAACTAAGTGCAATAAAACTATTTAAAAGGTTTACCTCGGATATCGAGAGTGTATCGTAGTATACAAAAAAAGTGAAAGCCGTTTACAACTCCCTGTAACACCGAATTAGAGCGCAGCTCTTGAGGAGGAGGAGGGAAGAGTACTGGGGGGGGGGGGGGTGAAGTGACCTGGGGGGGGTCACGTGACCTTGGGGGGTCACGTGACGATGCCGATGATGTCATCAGTGACGTCACTGATGACGTCATCAGTGACGACGACGATGTGGACTCCGATGACGTCATCAGCGATGATGACGATGACGATGCGGATGCCGGTGACGTCATCAGTGACGTCACTGATGGCGTCATCTGTGATGATGACGATGACGATACGGATGCCCCCCGAAGTCACGTGACACCCCCAGGTCACGTGACCAACCCCAGGGTCACGTGACCCCCGCCGAGGTTACGTGACCTCCCCAATGACGTCATCGTCACTGATGGCGTCACCGGCATCCGCATCGTCATCGTCATCATCACTGATGAGGTCATCAGTGACGTCACTGATGGCCTCACCAGCATCCGCATCGTCATTGTCATCATCACTGCTAACGTCACCAGTGACGTCACTGATGACGTCACCGGCATCTGCATCGTCATCGTCATCATCACTGACGTCACTGATGACCTCACCGGCATCCGCATCGTCATCGTCATCATCACTGCTGACGTCACCAGTGACGTCACTGATGACGTCACCGGCATCCGCATCGTCATCGTCACTGATGACGTCATCAGTGACGTCACTGATGACCTCACCGCCATCCGCATCGTCATCGTCATCATCACTGATGACGATGACGATGCGGATGCCGGTGACGTCATCACTGACTGACGTCATCGGCGAGGTCACGTGACCTCGGTGGGGGTCACGTGACCCTGGGGGTGGTCACGTGACCTGGGGGTGTCACGTGACCGGGGGGGGGGGTCACGTGACCTCGGGGGGGGGGGGTCACGTGACCTCGGGGGTCACGTGACCTTGGGGTGACCTTGGGATGACCTTGGGGGCCACGTGACCTTGGGATGACCTTGGTTACGCCGACGGCGACGCCGACGCCGCTCAAGCCGGGAACGGGCCCCTAAGAGCTGCGCTCTAAAACGTATTTTAGGCGTATATTCTAGTTTTAAAAAAGTATAATGAATAGAACACTTTTAATATATTGTCAATCTGGCAACGCGAACCGTGCTGGTTGGAATCGCGGAGGGAGGTAAATGCCTGACTAACCTGACGTCCTTCGAAATGAGGCTACAGGAAGAAAACACTTAACGAGTTGTCCTTTGTGCGAGGATTTCCCGGCTAGGGTATACGGCACATGGTTGAAAAAACCCCGAGACTGCGGGTAAACGACACCGGGGATTTATTCGAATGGCCAGCCGACTCCGGGGATTGCTCTGAAACTTGTTTATTTTCTATGGATCTTCCAACCTCCCTTATACAGAAGTCTATTTTTGTTCACCACAAAATGGAGGAACTATTTTTTACTGTTTCTTATCTAGTGAAAAATGTGTATTACAGTTGATTAGCGTGCTGGTTGTTTTCTTGGTGTGAACTTGAGCTCTAGCCCCTCGGGAGCAGTGAGGACAATTTCGAAGGCGAGCTGAAGCTTCTCCATCGGCACCTTCGACTCAACCTTATACCTTCTCATGACCTGGGCGAGAAGAATAATTTCTTCGAACTGTGCAAACTTTTGACCTGAAAGAGGACGAAACATTTCACATCTTAACAAAAATTATGGTAATGTACTTTTTTTTTTAGGTTAACATGTCTGCTTTTTTTAATAAAGTACTTGCTTAAGAGCGGCGTTATATAAAAACGACTATTGAATGTCAACACTGGTCGAATAGCTTATCAATCAATAAATACACTCAAGGCTTTCAACTGTGATTTAACATTACGGTAAATTTTGAATTGTTCAAAAGTATGAACATTTTACAACTGTATTATACTTGTCAGAAATATTGGGGTTTCAGTGGCCCAACAATAAATAACTGGCATATATTGCTGGTTCAGTAAGTTGTTTAATCACTGCACTAAAGTCATAATAACATAAACTGCTTGCGTATTCGATCAAGAAGAAAACACTCGCACATTGCTTGTTCATTAGATGTCTACAGTGACGTCGTTTATTTATTAATACAATCTATCATATTCAGTGATTCGCGCTTAAGAAATAAAGGTATGACTAAACGTGTCCTTTTAAATTTTATCCAAAATTTTGGCAGCTGCATATGTTCCATAAACGCGTATTTCTCCAGTATTTGTTTTTAGTTTTATTGTTTGAGTATCGTTTCTAAACTTTCTGAGCTAGTTGATTTTCTACTACAACCTCGTTGCTGGTAATGTTTCTCAACCAAGAGTCTTACCGATGCAATTCCTAGGTCCAGCAGAGAAAGGCACAAACTGGAAGGGATGCCTGTTTTTAGTTTCTAAGAAGCGCTCTGGCATGAAGACGTCAGGGTTTTCGAAGTATTTTGGATGCCGATGCATGTAAAAGATCAAAGCCAAGGCCACAGTACCCTTTGGAATTGTTTGTTCACCTGGAAGTAAAGTTAAATCAACATGAACTGTGAATAAGGGTAAAATAAAAAGTAAAAAATATTTTTAATTTTTTTAAATTTTATTATTTTTCTAAGATGCTAAAGAATTATAACTAACTTCTTTAGATCGTTTACTTAAACAAAGAAACAAACAATTCGAATATTACCAATCTTGATATCTTCATCGATCATTCTCGCTAAGAGTGGTGCAGCAGGATATAGGCGCATTGACTCCTGTAATAAAATGTTGGCTTAGTGGAAATAAGCATAAAACGATTATCCGAAAAACGTGCAATGTTCGGCGAATAACGTAATTTTGATTCGCGCCTGTCACTAAATTTTCCTGTTTTATTTATTAGTCTTACTCGGCGTATTTTAAAAGGCTTATTGCTAAAGTTTCTCTAAACGCTATCAAATGGATTATAGCCTAACCAAAATTATTTGTGCATTGTAATATTCACAGTTATAGGTCAACATTTTAAAAATAAAGAATTTCAACGTCCGTGGCGACAACTAAACTTTACGTATTTGCAGCGTTAATCACTCTTTCTTACGGTTCTTTGATTCTACATTCGTCCTTTTTTATACATCGACAACGTGTGAAGGCTTTCACTGCTCTTAATAGGGCCACCAAACCGTGATGCTGTGTGCACCAGTACATCGCGGCTCGATAGCACGACTGCTCATTGGTTAAACCTGGGAGAGCATATGCGACCAGGGAAGGAACACGTCGATGGACTTTTATGAGCATCGGAGAGCTGTCCCGCTTTGTTCAGTGAACATTGGTCACACGATCGACAACCCCAAGACCCGCCCCAATACATGTAGCTGACGTTGGTCACGTGACTCTTTCAGCAGGATGATGATGTGAAATATCTACCACGTGATTATGCTGCGCTGTGTCAATGACATCTCTGAGGCCACCACAAGGCACTATAACATCCCACGACACCAACCACGTGACTATGACACGTGACGACATGGTCAGGTTTCGAAATCATTGAAAACAAGTGGCACCACAACGCAAAACTATTTAGTCATATTTTCACGTGACACTCGGTCGTCATGCGACAGTGATCTTCATGACGAGGAGTCGCGTGACACTGAACGCCATACTTCACGCGCGTGATGTGACGTAACGTTACGTGCCACCAATTGGTACCGTGACGTCACGGGACCACCATCTCCTTACCACGTGATCTCCATACCAAAATACATAGTTTATTTCTATCGCAATACATCTCTTTGGCAGCACTCAGAGAGAGGGTGCGGCTTTTTACAACTTCAAGCTCTTGTATATAAAATTTGAGCTATACCTCGTTTCACCCCAAGTCCAGACGCAGCCCACTCTATGAGCTGATGGACCAATAGATGACGTCAAAAGCCCAGCACCATAATGCTCGTCACGTGTCCGTACGTGCTCCATCATAGCTAAACCAATCATAAACAAAAAAAGCCTTGTGGGTTGTGCTTTTGACGCTACTTTATTCGTCCCTTTACCTCCTGGCGTCGGTTGAGTCTGGATTTAAGCTGAAACAAAGCATAGTTGGTCCCTGTTCGTGATAAAAGAAACATGAGCAGAACAAGAACGAAGGAAGCCAAGAAACAAGACTAAGTTCCCGACATATACGCTGCGATCAGCTACAAAAAAAGCCAGTGTGTTTAGAGAGGGTAAAGTGGAGATTTGGGCCAGTTGGTTCATTGCAAGCAAAAAAGCGCCGAAAAAATATACAGGGACACAGACGAAGGGAAACAGGACAAGGCGCACTCTCAACTGATGTTTATTGAAAAATTCACACGGTATATAGCCACACACACACACACACACACAAAAAAAAATTCTTTTCTTTTCTATCTACTCAGCCCGCGTTTCAAAAATTCAAAATCATTTGTAGATAAGGATACCGACGTGTCACTTATACAGTTCTTGTCTCTGGTCCTAATTGCATACGCCTCGTGTAATTCCCGCGGCGACACTTTATCTTTGTATCTAGCCAAAATGTTGGTGTCATTGAAGGCCGGGGTGCAAGAGCATCTATTGCAATGAATTGCAAGGTGCCCCGAAGGCGTCGTTCTTGTAGAGGCAGCGTGCTCTCGGGTGCGATCATTAACGCACCTGCCCGTCTGGCCCACGTATGTCATCCCACACGTCATGGGGATTTCATAGACGACGCCAGTGGCACATTCAACGTACTTATTTCGATGTTTGGTAGTGCGGGGATCTGAAGATGGCTGTGGTGAATTGATCTGGCGACAAAGTCGCGCCATCTTATTGGGTGCTGAAAAAGCTACCGGTACATTGTAGCGCTGGGCTACCTTTTTCAGATTGTGCGTTACATTGCGCATATATGGAATGACAACAGGCCTCGTGGTCGGTCTATCGCTGTTTGATTTCCGATTACCTTTAATCTTTTTAATTAAGCTTTCTGCCACTTCAACCAAAGCCCTCACCGGAAAACCAGCCCCCTGCAGGCGTTCTATCTGACCCTCGAAGCTGCCTTGCGCACTGTGCAAACATGACTTTCTGAGGCACGAACTGGCTATGCCCCTTTTCACTACCTTCGACTGGGCGGAATCGAAAGGAAGGATGCCCTTCCTAGTTCGAGGCGCGTACTTCCAACAAACATGGTCCCCAAAAAACGACAGCTCGAGGTCCAAGAATTGCAGTTTGCTTTCTTTTTGTAACTCATGCGTGAATGTCAACCCGGAGCAACACAATTTAAACACGTCTAGCAACTGAGAGACTTCACTGCAAGGGGGCCCCGCCGAGCGGCTAAGGATGAGGAAATCGTCGACGTATCTGAAGATCTTCACATTGTCATCGTTCGAAATGTTCAAAGCGATGTTTTTTCCACAGCTGCCTAGAAAAATGTCACACAAAACAGGTGCAACACTCGACCCGATGCAAACGCCTTTTCTTTGCACATAAAGACCCCCCTCGAATGACGCAAACGTATGTTTTAAGTAAAAAACCAGGAGTTCAAGAAAGCTATCAACACTGATGCCCGAAGAATTCTGGAAAGCGACAACTCCGTTCTGGTCTATGCATTGTCTCACCGCCAAGAATAAGGGTTCATGAGGAATCGAGTAAAATAAATCCTCGACGTCGATGGAAAACCCACTGCGCATGCACTGGCCTACTTGCCTCAAAAATGCAATGACACATTCTGAATTTCGCACTATGAACGGATCATGCAACTCAAGCGCGCACAAATGTTTGCGCAGGAAATTACCCATGGGAAACTGCCAAGCGCCTCTTTCTGTAACAATGGCCCTAAAGGGAACTTCAGGCTTATGTGTTTTAGCAGTAAAGAATATGTCGAGGTTCAATTTCTTGCTCGATTTCACGCTCTTTAGCAACCCCGATAGTTCCAATTTGCTGCATAAGTCCTGGGCCCGAGATTTCACCTTTGACATGGACCCGGAGAGACTCGCTTGAAATTCTTGTCGATGGCCTGGCTTGCCTTCGCACCGTACAGAGCGGACGGAGCAACGACGAATCCTCCTTCCTTGTCAGCAGTAACCAGCTTGAGGTTGTGTTCCGAAAAGTAGGTGACGATGTTGCTGGTCTTGAAGCTTCTCGTTGATTGGCCAGCGGTGCGTTGGAGAACGTCTACGCCGTCGGCCACGCATCGTTCTTGGTGCTCAGGCACAGCCAAACCGCCTATCCATCTCACCAAGGACAGCTTTGTGACGGGGCACAATCTCGGTTCCTGGCTAAACTTTGGTCCGTGGTCTAAGGCAGACTTGATGTCTGGTGGTAAAGTGACACCTCCAAGAATGGTGACACCCTCTTGCTTCTTGACGCTGGCGGCACTCTTCTTCACCAGCGAAGTCCGGACTTGCTCCAAAAGGACATCTGTGTATTGTGCCGCTGTTCAAAGGTGTTTTCTGAAGGCTTGTTCCGCAGCGTGTGTCCCGGCACCAGAAGAATAGCACGTGATCTTCAAGCAATCCCTTTCACCTCTCAACTTGTTTCCAGGTCTCAGACCGGAGAATTCTGCAAATTCTCCTGGCATGACCAGTAGAAGGCTGGACTCCGTTGAAGAGGGAGGTCACTTCACATGGATAGCATCCACGGCGAATGGCATATGAAAGGTGTCTGGCTCGACAGCACGAGAGGGCGATAAGGTTAATTAATGGATAAACGGATTGATGGCTGTTAGGAGAACATAGAACAGAGTCCGTTGCAAAAGAAATAAACTGCAGTAAAGATGTCCTTTGGGAGCAAGTGCGGACTTCGCTGGTGAAGAAGAGTGCCGCCAGCGTCAAGAAGCGAGAGGGTGTCACCATTCTTGGAGGTGTCACTTTACCACCAGACTTCAAGTCTGCCTTAGACCACGGACCGAAGTTTAGCCAGGAACCGAGATTGTGCCCCGTCACAAAGCTGTCCTTGGTGAGATGGATGGGCGGTTTGGCTGTGCCTGAGCACCAAGAACGATGCGTGGCCGACGGCGTGGACGTTCTCCAACGCACCGCTGGCCAATCAACGAGAAGCTTCAAGACCAGCAACATCGTCACCTACTTTTCGGAACACAACCTCAAGCTGGTTACTGCTGACAAGGAAGGAGGATTCGTCGTTGCTCCGTCCGCTCTGTACGGTGCGAAGGCAAGCCAGGCCATCGACAAGAATTTCAAGCGAGTCTCTCCGGGACCCCTGTCAAAGGTGAAATCTCGGGCCCAGGACTTATGCAGCAAATTGGAACTATCGGGGTTGCTAAAGAGCGTGAAGTCGAGCAAGAAATTGAACCTCGACATATTCTTTACTGCTAAAACACATAAGCCTGAAGTTCCCTTTAGGGCCATTGTTACAGAAAGAGGCGCTTGGCAGTTTCACATGGGTAATTTCCTGCGCAAACATTTGTGCGCGCTTGAGTTGCATGATCCGTTCATAGTGCGAAATTCAGAATGTGTCATTGAATTTTTGAGGCAAGGGGGCCAGTGCATGCGCAGTGGGTTTTCCATCGACGTCGAGGATTTATTTTACTCGATTCCTCATGAACCCCTATTCTCGGCGGTGAGACAATGCATAGACCAGAACGGAGTTGTCGCTTTCCAGAATTCTTCGGGCATCAGTGTTGATAGCTTTCTTGAGCTCCTGGTTTTTTACTTAAAAAATACGTTTGCGTCATTCGAGGGGGTCTTTATGTGCAAAGAAAAGGCGTTTTCATCGGGTCGAGTGTTGCACCTGTTTTGTGTGACATTTTTCTAGGCAGCTGTGGAAAAAACATCGCTTTGAACATTTCGAACGATGACAATGTGAAGATCTTCAGATACGTCGACGATTTCCTCATCCTCAGCCGCTCGGCGGGGCCCCCTTGCAGTGAAGTCTCTCAGTTGCTAGACGTGTTTAAATTGTGTTGCTCCGGGTTGACATTCACGCATGAGTTACAAAAAGAAAGCAAACTGCAATTCTTGGACCTCGAGCTGTCGTTTTTTGGGGACCATGTTTGTTGGAAGTACGCGCCTCGAACTAGGAAGGGCATACTTCCTTTTGATTCCGCCTACTCGAAGGTAGTGAAAAGGTGCATAGCCAGTTCGTGCCTGGGGGCTTCTCTCAGAAAGTCATGTTTGCACAGTGCGCAAGGCAGCTTCAAGGGTCAGATAGAAAGCCTGCAGAGGGCTGGCTTTCCGTTGAGAGCTTTGGTTGAAGTGGCAGAAAGCTTAATTAAAAAGATTAAAGGTAATCGGAAATCAAACAGCGATGGACCGACCACGAGGCCCGTTGTCATTCCATATATGCACAATGTAACGCACAATCTGAAAAAGGTAGCCCAGCGCTACAATGTACCGGTAGCTTTTTCAGCACCCAATAAGATGGCGCAACTTTGTCGCCAGATCAATTCACCACAGCCATCTTCAGATCCCTACACTACCAAACATCGAAATAAGTACGTTGAATGTGCCACTGGCGTCGTCTATGAAATCCCCATGACGTGTGGGATGACATACGTGGGCCAGACGGGCAGGTGCGGTAATGATCGCACCCGAGAGCACGCTGCCTCTACAAGAACGACGCCTTCGGGGCACCTTGCAATTCATTGCAATAGATGCTCTTGCACCCCGGCCTTCAATGACACCAAGATTTTGGCTAGATACAAAGATAAAATGTCGCAGGAATTACACGAGGCGTATGCAATTAGGACCAGAGACAAGAATTGTATAAGTGACACGTCGGTATCCATATCTACAAATGAGTTTGAATTTTCGAAACGCGGGCTGAGTAGATAGAAAAGAAAAGATTTTTTTTTTTTGTGTGTGTGTGTGTGTGTGTGGCTATATAACGTGTGAATTTTTCAATAAACATCAGTTGAGAGTGCGCCTTGTCCTGTTTCCCTTCGTCTGTGTCCCTGTATATTTTTTCGGCGCTTTTTTGCTTGTTTAGAGAGGACAACATTAGAACATTCGTAAGAGCCCTCTTGCTAGAAAAATTTAAAAAAAAGGAAATTTGGATCTTGAGCTGCGGTCCTGCTTACAGCGCACAAGCTTTTTTCAGACGAACTCAAAGAGTACATAAACATCTCATATCTGATATAAAAGTTAAGAGAAATAGCATAAGGTAATACAATATGGACGTTAAGCCTACACTTAACGCGCGTTTCTTCCTTCGGGAATCTTCTCCTACCTTGATGACACACTCGGTGTACTTCAGACGCTTGATGTCATCAAGAGTCACGGGTCTCTCCCAATCATCCCCAAATACTTCGTCCATTTCTTCGTGTACCTTCTTTTGAACTTCAGGATGATGGCCAAGAAGATAAAGACAGAATGACGCAGAAGTTGCTGTCGTTTCAAATCCCTGGAGAAAATTTAATGCAACACAAATTGATTTCTGGGAGTTATGAACCGCTCTCTTCTTCTTGGATGTGGTTAACAACACATCGCGGCATTGTTCGTCTTCCTCAACGGTATTTTAGGTTTATTTCGAGCAACACCATAAGGAGCACTAAGGGATATCTTGTACAAAATTAATATTCTACCAAGACGAATTCGAGGCCTATTAAAATCGAGAAAATGGTTGCTAATCTCCAGTAAAATAATTAGTTTGTTCGATAGCTCCGAAAAAAGATAAGATCAACGCGGGTGCTGTTTTGCTTATATTAGTAATGATAAAAATATAATTGAAATATTCCGGTACCTCTAAAACGGTAACGCAAATACGTATATAAAGAATGGCACAGTGTGCTCCGCAGGCGTTTTTTATATGCTAGACAAAATATTTTGTAAAAAAAAAAAAAAACATTTCGTGTGTTAAGGCATATTTATATAACGTTATTTATATAACGTTATAACGTTTATATAACGAGGCGACTCTCTACTGGCAACATTGAGAAATTCCTACTTTTCCCTCCCCTTGTACGCCACGGGCGGGAAATCAAACGGGCGACACCGGAAGCGGGAAAGTGGTGTTTACCCCCGCAGATTGCTTACTGCATCTTCGAGATTGCAACTACCTTTATTTGGGTGGCAATCTGCGCAGTCGACTGCGCAAACAAAAAAAAAACGGCAAGAAACTTCAGCGATGTTTTTTTGCCCTTGATTTTCGAAAGAAAAAAACATAAAAAACAAGTGCTCCGCGGCAGCATGGAGGTGTGAACCACATCTAGAACTATTTATAATGCAATTAAAATGCAAAGGTGCAAGCGAGCTGAGCATGTTTGTCCTTTGTCCCTCTTGTTCTCCTTCTCCAGGGATTACTTTCGCCGTTCATCTAGAACTATATTATCGCCAATCGCGCATCAGGCAAACTAACCTCACATGAAGCATATACGTATATACTCGAAATACTTCACAGCCGCGAGTTGAGAATTGAGTGCTCTTGTTCACTTCGAAATTTCTTCAAGGGCGGTCACTGCAGACTTAAATCCGGTGATGTACCTCGACGACCCACGTCAAAAAAAGAAGACTAATAGAATTGGGGAAAATAGCCCTTTCCCGAGCACTGGCCGACATTTGGCTTACGCTCATCTGTTTTACATTTTAAGGAAACTAAGTCTTTCTAATTCTATTCAATACGTCAATATGGTTTTGGTCCAACCGATCAGCTTAGAACGGCGGGAGCCACCACAGCCATCTCGTGCTACTCTCGGTGTTCTAATCGCGCGGTTTTTGCTTGAATGTCAAAGGCGAAAAGTGAATCACCTTAATTGTAGTTTCATTTTAAAGATGACTTCTGGCACACACCGTTCGTGTCTGCCATTAAACATTTTTAGGAGACAGTTGTTAAACACCGATACGCAAAACAACCCGTGGCCCGGAATCCTTCTCAATTGATGGGCATGCAATTTTTTTGCAAATCAATGCTATAGAGTCTCGAAAACTGAGTGAAAATACTTATACCCATATTTTTAAAAGTGGCGCGTAAATTGGTCACTGATGAACTATGTACAGAACCAAAGATATATTTTATAAAACGCCACAGCCAAAAAACACTTTTTGTGTTTTTTGGCTCCCATTCCCGTCAGCCTCTCGTGGACCAGTGATAGACCGCGTGGAATATTACTCCAGTACATACATCTAAAAACAAATATAATTTCAAATACTCGCTCTCTCTCCCTCCCTTTCTATATATATATTTCTGTATATATATTTATAAAGAGAGAGAGAGTTTATTTTTAAGATTTGCAAAATCAAGGTTGAATCATGTACATTGGTCCCTACTGCCTCTTGAACAAATATTTTGTGTTTAAATATTTATAGTCTTTCTGGGTTTACAGGCCTCAATTAAATGCACCTCGATGTTGACTCACTTGGTTGTTGAGGCGTTCCTTTATTATTTTTAAGTTATCACAACCTTTCTTATCGGTAACTTTTCCGGCACTCCCGGCTGACATAAATGCGGCTTATGGCATTCCATAAGCGCTTTCCTAAAGATAACCTAAATTCATTTCCACTATTCGAATAAGACGAGCGCGTGCGGGAATCGTACCCACGTTAATAGCGTTCTCGTAGGTGTTGGAGTAATTTCACAAAATATCTACTACAAAGCTCTTTAACCTGTTCTACTCCTCTAAATGTCATTCGCAAGAAAAGGAGGAAGGAGATAAACCCGTGTTTGATCCAAAAATATCGAGCTGCGGCTTGAGCGTACTGAGTTGCAAAAAAGGGTTTTCTCGAAGTTCTAATTGCTTCTGTTTCTTTTTTCACAGTTCAGCACGCAGACCAAAGCTACACTGCTGCAAGTGAATATTATTATTATTAACTTCACATAGCGCGGACCAGAGCCGTATATTGGGAGAGTTTGGCCCGTGGGTGTGGCGACGAAGGCGCCGGAGAGGAGAAAAGTAAATGAAAGGGAGGAGAGCGCCGAAGGAGCGAGAGAGAAAGAAGCGAGCAGAGAGGAGACGATCGCCATTTTTTAGCAACGCTGACGGAGACTGGTCGGAGAAGAGCACTGCTGAGGCTACGCGTCGTCTGCTACGGGCCGACTTCTTTTTCGCCTGAATAAACGTTTGTGGCCATACGCCGAAATATCTTCATTTATTAGCTTTTTAACCCACCGAGGAATAACAGAATGTCATTTTCTTGCCGGAGCCAGCGATATAAAAGGCAATAATCGAGATTTAGATGCCGATCCCACGCATTCCGCCGGGTGAATGATCGAAGGTGGCAGCCCTCCCCACTCAGGTGGGAGCAGCCGGGAGTTCACGCGCATGCGCTCATGCCTCTCGCTCTACGCCGCGCGCTGATTGGCTCACGTGGGAGGAGAGCGTTACGGCGGCGAGATCATCGACTGACCAAACTCTCCCCATATACGGCTCTGGCGCGGACGTACCGGCTTGCCCGGTGCTATACGCCGCGCAAGTGGGCTCGTTTTCGTCTTCTGCGCATGAGATAGGAAGTAGCGGTGACGTCAGAACGCCGAGCCCTGATTGACTGATCGCGACCCCCTATCTGAGCGTCGTCTGCTCCTTTACAACGTCGTCTGCTCGCAACATCGTCTGCGTCTGTCTTACCTTTCCTGCGACTTTCGAAAGTGCAGGTCCTTACGAGCGAGCTCGACTTCGCCTTAGAGAGGGCAGACGAAATAACTCGAGCGGTACGTTCTGTTTGTTTAACAACTAGCAGACGCGCATCAAGGAGGGAAGTCAAAGGACCCAACTGGCGAGGTGTCCCGAGGCGCCGAGGTTTGTTTGATAAGAATCGAGAGTGAGCGTGTTAGTGTCCGCAAGCTCCCTCCCAAATACTTTTCCCCTCCTTTCGTGTGCGTTGAGACCCCTCATTCTTTAACGGCGTCGGCGGGTTGGCGCAGTTAACGTCGTCTGCTTTACGTCTGCTAGTCAAAGCGATGGCTGCTTTACCTTTCCTGCGTCTGTCAGAAATCCACCGCTCTTTCACCGGCGATAGTCACCGTTGCCTCGGGAAACAAGGAGATAACAAGAGGAAGAAATTGACCTCTTAATCTAAAATTGAGGTCAGCGATCAAAGTATAATAGGGGAAGGGTTCACAAGGGTCGCGCGGGCATATTGCATTCAGCACGCCAGCCGGTCTTGGGCAGACGGTCGCCGAGTCGCGGAGTGCCTGCAAGGCCTAACTGCCGAACTCGCTTGGTCGCGTTCGGTGGAATCGTGGCCGTTGGAGCTTTTCCCGGGTGTTTGTGGATCTAGCGTTCTCGTTCGTCGTTGTCTGTTTCAAGTACTTTTGACTTTTTTCTTGCTGCTTGGAGTCGTTACGCGTGAGAAGCGCACGTAGAAAAATAAACGTCCGTTGGTCGTCCCGACCGCGACGCTGTCGGCCATGCCGATTTGATCGTAAGAAGTGTGTAAGACAGCTTTGGAGCTGTCGTAGGATTTCGTCGTCACCTGCGCAAAACTTTCGAAAATTTCGTTTCGTGAAAATCGAATTTGTTCTCAAGTTTTGTCTTACGCGTATTTTTGGCGTAAAGTCGTTTTGTGAACCTGGCCTCTGCCCTTCCGAAAGTCGCATTAAAGGTAAGACAGACGCAGACGACGTTGCGAGCAGGCGACGATGCAAAGGAGCAGACGACGCTCAGATAGGGGGTCGCGATCAGCCAATCAGGGCTCGGTGTTCTGACGTCACCGCTACCCCCTGCGCAAGAAGCAGACGAACTTGCCCTCCGCATAAGCAAGCGCATACTTCATTGCCAGCCGTCCGCCACGCTTCCCGCCCCTGACTTCATTTTGATCGCATAGAAAAATAGAGAAACTTAGGGAAAACGGAAAACACCCAGGTTTCGGTTTTTGTATCTAAATAATTAAGATTTATTGGAATTAACCATTAAAATGTGGGATAACAGGTCACCAAATCGGAACCAGGAAATGTCTAGAATTAGATGAGGCGATCCATTTTTGTTTTTAAAAGGATTAGCGGCTCTCGTTTAATTGCGAAATTCGCATAACATTGTTTATTTTTGCAAAGAAAAAAAATATCAGCAGAGTGCCTTATCTCTAGACGAGATAGCTGCATCAGCAAACATTACACCGGTTAGTTGACCCGCCATAATGAATATTTAAAGGTTTCCACATGGCAGTCAAATTATGCGCAGCGAATGCCTGGCTATTTAATTCCAAAGCTTCTAAAAAGCTTTGGGGAAAAAAAAAGGTATCTAGGAGCAGTATCGCCTAAAAAGTTGTGCAGCACCTTTTTACAATTTGAACGTTCTGCGTCTTCTTTCTACTATTCCATTTGCTAGTGTATATTTTGTGTCTATGATTGTTCTTTGTTCTCATTGCATAAAAACTGTTTGTTCAATGGTTGCCGGTTGGGCTGAGGGCCAGTCAATTTTTTTTCTCCTTTTTGCTCTACCATTTCTTTCTAAGTGGAAATGTATATTATTATTATTATTATCATTATTATCATTATTATCATTATTTCGTTGTTAGAGTGTTTAAACTCGTTCAATTTATTGCAACCATGAGAAGAAAAGTAGAGAGCAGCAGAAACAGATAGAACAAATAGACGCACAAACTAGGAGCCGCGTTAAGAGCAATTATTTTCGACAGGGTTTTTTTTTTCTAAATATTTATGTTAAATCGTTAGCATCTTACACGCTTGATTTCACCAAATCAACTTATCGTCACGCGATTAAAGAAGGAGAGAAGTAGCAAATAGATGTATAGCGAAGGTTGTTGTCGACGCGCGTGATATTTCGATCGAAGAAACAAGCAACGCAGCCCCGAACCCTATCGTGACACCTTCTTTGGAAACGGTTTGGAGCCACCAACTGCAGCGGCTTAGGAGAATAGTGCAGCAACCGCGTCACCTCCGCCGTGCATTGGCAGCGGCCGGCGCTTGGACGACGTTGACGTCATCATGTAGGGGGAGCTCGGCTCCTTAGCTCCGTGTCATGAGCGCGTTGTTGGGTGCTTTGGGACGCTGTAACAACACTTTAGACTTTTAAAAAATATTTCAATAAATTTTATACTTTAGGTCCTTTGAACGGACGATGACGGGGCTTGTATGGGTCGGAAATAAATATCCTAAGCCCACCGAAAAAAATAATAATAATAATAAAATAAATAAATAAACGCGTGCATTAAGGAGATTGTCAGAGTCAGTTTTTCACACAGTGCAGTTGTTCGTTCATTTTTATTCCTTTCGCTCGACTGTAGTTCCTACACTGCGGAGTTGAACCTGCATTGATGATAGCGTTTCCTTTTGTTATATCCGTGCTCGTGCGAGGGATATCGGATTATTTCATTTTCGCGGACTAATCAAACTAGGTTTGATTCGGATGCAATGCAACGCAACATTTTATATTATGATCACCTACACAAATAGAAATATATCTACTCTTTTTTTCTCATCACTTGATACACTGAGTGAGAAATTGTTTGAAGATGGTGAGAGATGTGAACTGCCGTACCAAAATTATATAGGGTATGTAAAATTCTTGATACCAGTCTATGCTGCTTCGCATCGCTGTGGTTTTGGGCTTGCTCGCTTCATTTGCAGGTCAGAATATTCGTAATGGAACTACGAAAAAAAAAAGTTTTCCTTCGAGACCCATAAAAAAGTTTCTTTTAAAAATATTAAAACATTGCATTCTGGAAATCTTTCTACAATGTTCTAGCGCTGTTATTGTTCTTTCATGCAAAAAAGCTTAACTTTTTTTACAGGTACTGTATGAAAATTCTTTCTGTTTGTTACTTTCATCATTTTTATTAAAGGGTCCGATACCCAGCCCTATAGGGAATATTTTTTTTTTTAGTCTTGAGTCTTTCATATAGCAGATCGCTAAAAGAGAACGACACGAGATACACAAAACCATAAATAACCTAAAAATAGACGTCAAACTGTCAAGCATCCTGGAATTGTTTTATCCATTCCGAGTCACTTCTGCAAGACATGTCCGCAGTCTCAAACGCTGTAGTTCGTCCGCAAGTTACGTATTATATCAAAACAATTAAAATATAGCAGAAACCCACACTGTGGGATTTCTTATCGGAAATAATTGCCATAATGTTGATATTGTCGTACCGCTATAATATATCGGCTACCAGATAATTGTTTCGGTTATTGTCAAATAAAAATAAAAGAATTGTTCACGTTATGGCTGGCTACTAAAACAAATTGCTATTTAATCTTTGCATAGATTATTGGTTGTACTTCTTTGAACTAGAAGCTAGCAAGCTCGTGCATCTTACTTTACCGTAGTGCTTTATTTGAGGTGTTAACTTTATCTTATTTCAAACTAAAGGTTCGTGCTTTACAATATGCATTTTAATTTTACTAATTTTCTTCATTCATTTCATCTGGTGATGTTAAGGGTCTGTGTGCATCTTTAGTTCATTTGATCATCTTGTCACAGTAATTAACAAAAATTATGCGTACGTTTAACGTAATTTTGCCTTAATAAGTACAATTCACGTAATAAATAAGAACGCACAATTCCTAAAATTTTACAATTTCTCCATCCCATTTTTTCGTTGTTGCAGTAACGTGCAAGAAACAACATAGGCTGTGTGCAGAGCCAACTGATAAACTAATTGCATTAATACACTGTAATCACTTTTCAAATGTGCAATATCAAGGCCATACGAAAGAAAACAACAGTTGGCATGCATTAGTTGTTGCACGTACGGTCGCCACGAAGACTTCCTCTCTGTGAGTGTTAATTTATTTTAAACTATGATTATTAGCGTGTTATTGACCCCCCTTGTATAATGCCCTAACGGGCCCTCAAGGAATAATAAATGAATGAATGAAAAGAGGGTTATCGGTACCGAAAGAGCTTATAGAAGTGGTGTACCTACATTTATTACCAGAACCAATTGACAACGATGACCTACGTAGCGCCCGTTGACACGCCCAAAGAATAAGCACGCGAAACCTGTCATCTGTCACGCGCCACCAAAACGCTCAAGCCGCCGTCTTATCTGGTGTACCGTCCGCACGCCTTAAAGGGCATAGGTAGCTCCAATATCAGATTGAGAAACATGCGTTAAAGTAAGATTTATGATCATGGCTTCCACTCACGATCACAGGCGATCAACAGAACACCGCCATCTGTAGTTGAAAAGCGCGCGCACGAAGCGACGACGCTCACAAATTCGTCGTTGGCTGCTGCAAGTCCGCCGCCGTAACGCTCCCCTCCGCGTGCTGATTGGCTCAGTGAGCCAATCAGCACGCGGCGCAGAGCGAGAGGCATGAGCGCATGCGCGTGAACTCCCGGCTGCTCCCAGCTGAGTGGGGAGGGCCGCCATCTTCGATCGTTCTCCCGGTGGAATGCGTGGGATCGGCATCTAAATCTCGATTATTGCCTTTTATATCGCTGGCTCTGGCAAGAAAATGGCATTCTGTTATTCCTCGGTGGGTTAAAAAGCTAATAAATGAAGATTTTTTGGCGTATGGCCACAAACGTTTATTCAGGCGAAAAAGAAGTCGGCCCGTAGCAGACGACGCGTAGCCTCAGCAGTGCTCTTCTCCGACCAGTCTCCGACAGTGTTGCTTAAAAATGGCGGTCGTCTCCTCTCTGCTCCCTTCTTTCTCTCTCGCTCCTTCGGCGCTCTCCTCCCTTTCATTTACTTTTCTCCTCTCCGGCGCCTTCGTCGCCACACCCACGGGCCAAACTCTCCCAATATACGGCTCTGTTGTGCTGGACGCACGAGCGCCGCCACGCGGCCGTCTTCGAGCGCGCCACCACTCATCCAGTTTCGGTTGGTTACTGTACTACCCCTTTAAGCCACTGTACACCAATGTTGGCGTCCCCCGCCATTCGCACGAGCGGCTTACGGGAAGCTTGCCGAGGTGGAGGACAGGCGGCGCTGCATGCTTGAGAGATTGGAGCGCTGATATATTCCGTTTCACCCTGCTATAAACCGCGAAGGACGCTTCCGTTAAGTCTTCTAAGCAAATCTAATGCTTTGTGACTGTCACGTGATACATTCACAGTGTTTGATTGGCCGGGATGTCTCGTAGCGTTCGCTGCGTTCAAACGTAGGATAAAGCAGAGTTTAGAGATAACATCTAATTTAACACGGGTGTTTATGTTCCGTATTTTTTTTAATTCAAGGTTCCGCTCATACTAGCGCAGTGAAGATAAATTGTGTCGTTCTCTAATTCTTACGGCGTTACTCTAAAAAAAAAGAATAAAATAAGGTATGTCACTAAAACTTTCGGAGCCACTATGTAAGAATAATTAGGAATTATATTGATGATGCTTCTTTTCCTTCCTCCTTTTTTATTCATACGGTCCAAAAAAAATGTACTCACCCCGATGAAGATGGAGCTCACTTCGTCTCTGACGTCTTGCTCGGTGAGAATTCCTTCCTCGATGTGCAGACGTAGCAGGATATCGAGAAAAGATTTCTTCAGTTTTTCGTCTCCGATGCCAGCCTCGTAATCGGCCTTGCGCTGTTTCACAATCTGCAATCGTGCAGTTATAAAAAGTGTTTACGTTAATGTTAGTCTGGGAGGGCTTGCCTCTAAATATGTTTAAAAGTAGCAGGAAGCCGAAGTCAACTCCCGAAGATTACAAATCCGGCATGTCGGTGGAAAATTGAACATAAATAACTACTCTGAGTAGCCGCTAAAGAAACGCAGCGCGTTGTCAGTCACAATCATCTCATTGCAGCTCCGCAGTCAGTGCAATTGAGGTATTCGCAAGCAAGAACTACAAAGGACGAATCACTAAGCAAATAGGGGAATCATAATGAGGAACGCCCTGGGGTTCTTAAGCTGTCAATTAATATAATTAAAGAAAGCAGACAATATTATCCTATTTATTTCTTATATATTTATTTACACTAAAACTCTGGAGATCTTGTAGGAGTTGGCAGTAAACAATCATCACTGACAATACACTGAGAGAAAAATCAACAGGGTCATCCACTGCATATTGCCACATTCATAATGTCAACACGTTCAGCTGTACATACAACACCATCAAGCGCCGTTCACACATATGCAGCCAAGTAAGACCATGAGAGACCAGACCGGTGTTTAAGCCTCTAACGACGTCTTAGGATCGGATGCGCTGCAGCGGAGCCGCGGAGCTGGTCCTAAGACGTCACAAGCGGCTTAAAAACTGGTCTGGTCTCTCTCGGTCTTACTCGGTTGCATATAGCGCCGTTCACACATATGCAACCGAGTAAAACCGAGAGAGACCAGTCCGGTTTTCAAGCCTCTTGCGACGTCTTAGGACCAGCTCCGCAGGATCGCATCCGGTCTGTCCTAAGACGTCGCAAGAGGCTTAAACACCGATCTGGTCTCTCCCGGTCTTAAGGCCCGTTCACACTCTTGCGACCTCTTAAAAGTGGGTTCCTTAAAACCTCTTACGACGAGTGGACTGGCGCCATCTATTGGGTAGCGGTGTAAACTTGGCAGTCCGGCACATTTTCTATTTCTCTCGCGCATTATCCTTTCTTTCTTTGCTCGAAAAACTTTTGTGAATGTTATAAACGAACCTTTCTTATAGGTATTGCGCACATTTCACCTCGAAAATCCCGCAAACCTTTCGCTCTTGTGAAAAGCAGTTTCAGGGTCACCGCATAGATGGCGCCAGCGTGCCAGTGTGTTCTCTCGTCCTAAGAAATTTTTAGAAGTTTTAATAACAGATCTCGTCTCTCTCGGTCGTACTCGGTTGCAAGAGAGTGTACGGGCCTTTACTCGGTTGCATATGTGTGAACGGCGCTTAAGACCGAGAGACACCAGGCCGGTTTTTAAGCCCCTTGCGACGTCTTAGGCCCGGATGCGCTGCAGCGGAGCAGGTCATAAGACGTCGCAAGAGGCTTAAAAACCGGTCTGGTCTCTCTCGGTCTTACTCGGTTGCATATGTGTGAATGGCCCTTTAGGAAGATAATTTGACTCATGTACTGTCCTTAGAAAAAAGAAAAGAAAATTTAAACCTGTCTCCTTTACAAGTATGTTAAACAAGGGCCATAACGGTCTGCGTCTTAGAGGGGTAGCGTGGATCACGCAGCGGCAAATGTAGCTATTCTTGTCTAGATTAAAGCGGTCATGAGATAAATTAAATAAAAGAATTTAGCCTGTCGATTTTCCGACGAAGTTCCCAGGGGTAAAGGCTAGCAATCGTATAGAGTTACGTTACGGAGTCAGTGCGAGAGTACTTCTTGTAAATAAAGCGTAAACGTTTTCTTTAAACTTTTTCCATTAAAGTAATGTCAGGTGCTGTAAAGGGGCCCCAGACTATATCAGCGTACTCAAGGAGTGATCTAACAAATGTTTATACGCTGCTATTTTAACGGTGGATGATGCAGATTTCAGGCCAAAGTTTATTTAATGCAAGATCTGTGAGATGCGTGATGTGAAAGTTCCGTCGTAGATGATTTGTGCTGATGACTCCAGGGTATACATATGAGGTAACTAGTGAAAGGGGGTTATCGCGCACATTGTAGTTAAAAAGGGAAGTCTTTTTTTCCCCGCGTTATATGCATATACACACATTTATTGAAGTGTAAGGACATTTGCCACTCCTTGCTCCACTTGTTCACTTTTTCTAAACCAAGACTGAGTTCTTCTTGATCCGCGATCAATCTTACATCGGTGCACATGATAATCTCGTCAGCCAAAAGGCGTATAGCTATAAGTATATTATTCACGATGTCGTTGATAAAAATTGAAACACGTAAAGAACCGAGCACCGATCCTTGGGGAACTCCCGAGTATACATTGGACTGGGATGATTTTCATCCATTTACTTCAACACATTGATATCTGGTGCTGAGTTGTTCACCGAAGCCATAACATTAACCTTTCATTTAGTAAAACTGAAGATAGCTTGGCTAGAAGCTTACGGTGAGTAACACTGTCGAACGCATTTGAAAGATCCAAAAAATATAAAGTCCACCTGATCTGTGTTATTAAGTGATATGCGAAAAGTTATGAGTGGTTTCTACAAGTGGTGTTGCTGTTGATTATTCCGGCAGGAAACCATGCTGGTTCAGGTTAAAAAAATCTAGTCTCAAGTAACTCCGAAATGTGTTTAAAGATAATATGCTCAAAGGTTTTTTTAGCAGGAATTTAACAAGGAATGGGGCGAAAGTTCGAGGCAGATCTGCACGATCCCAACTTATGTATAGGAATTACCCTGCCACATTCACAACTCGTGAACACTCGAATTAGAAAAAGACTTGTCGAACAGCATAAGCAAATGACGGGAACACCATTCAGCATACCTAATCAAAACAGTGTTGGGAATATTGATTGTACCAGGGCATTTCTTCATACTCAAATTAAGTAAAGCTTGGAAAATAATTTCACGAGATAAGATCATATACGTTCTAGGCTTAGCTGATACTTCTGATGATATCCGGACTAGTACCATTATCAACCGAGAACACGGACGTAAAATAATAGTTGAAATGGTTGGCGATAGCGTTGCCATCGTCTAAAACAATATCAGAAACAACGAGAGATTGAACTGACTTCCTAACTGTAGCCATAAATCTGCAAACTTTCAACGGGTCAGTTTTCAAAATAGTGTGTAGCGTTACGTTTTGGAAAGTTTCTTTCTCATCATTTCAGAAAGTTGATCCCGTAACTCTGACAAACCAGACCAGTTTCTTTTTTTAAGCCGCCTAATTTTTCTCTGGAGGCGCAGTATGGTCGCGATTAATCCAAGGGTTGCGCTGTCTTACTTTTTTTCTATGATCTGAACAAATCTCTTCATACACTCCTTTATTTTGCCGTAAAATAATTCCCAGAGTTGACCTATATTCCTATTAGGATCGCGGCATACGGCCGAAAATAAATCTAGAGTTCAAGTCCGTTGATGACGGACACGTCATTCGTCTTTGAGAGGTTATAAACGTGACGTATGCTTCAGTAATGTGGTGTAGCATAGAAATGTCTTGTGAAGTCGTAAACTACGAGGCGATGATCTGAGATGCCTTCTTCAACACGACAATCACATGCTTGTTTTGCAAGAAAATCAGAAAGAAATACAAGATGTATTAAGAGGTTAGAATTCCCATATGTCTTAGTGTAGTTGTGCACAATATGAAGAAGGTTTGCATTGAATGCCATATCAGTTAAAATCTCTGAGTTAGGATTGCTCTATGCACAAAGCAGGCACGTAGCCAGGGGGGGGGGGGAGGCCGATGGGGACCGCCCCCTCCCCCCCCCCCAAATCTTCCATTTTGCTGGGACCTCCTTTCCCCCCTCCCCCTCATACAGCATTTTGCCATACGCGCCCCTTCCCCCCCCCTCCCCGAAACAAAATCCTGGTTACGTGCCTGGCACGAAGTCACTCCCACTCAATTAACGGCGTATTAAAGTCGCGAGCTTAAATAAAGCATTTGGATTTTTGAGCAAGTGTCAAGACATAATCGCTAACATACTATAGGACGGATCTAGGGGCATTAGGTGGGTGGTAGACCACGCCGATAATCAGTGGAGAATTAACGGTGGCCGCCTTCTGGTTCAAAATGCCACGGACGAGCTCGTCCAGCGGATTTTGCGGTAGTCTTCAATACCGCGAACGAGCTAGGCTCGTCCGAGTAGTTTGCGGCGCTGATCATAGATTGCAACACTCGTTTTAGTGGCGCCTTTTTTTTTCGCCCCGCTGATTTTTGTAATAAACTTTTGAAATTCTATCTTTTATACTGGAGGATAGAGGACTAAAATTCCTTAATAATATATAAGGCATTTTTAGGTTGCTATAAAAAAGTGGCACTTAAGGGGTTAAAAGAGGTAATGTTAACAAAAACAGATTCGACCTCGGGTAATTTGTTCAGGTCTTGAAAGCTGAAGCTGCTTTTTGTCTCTAGGCCAACGCTTCCTGCCCGCGACTCACGGTCGCAACGTACAATATTAGAACCAGGAGGTAAAATTTCGCTGTTTCTTACAGCAGTATGCAGCCATGTTTTCGTTATGGCCACAAAGTCTGGATCACGCTCAACTAATACCTGCTCAAAGTTGGTTACCTTTTTAGCAAGACTTATTAGGATTACTAAGCCAGAAAACCAGAAAATATCATCCTACTAATCCTCAGAGTGTGACATATATGCGCCTGCCGGCCTACACAATAGCAAAAAAGAAAAAAAAGGTTTTAAAGTTGTCATTCTTGCAGAACCCGACACAACAAATCACGGCAGCAACACCAGGTAGAAATTTATTTTATGACTCTACCAAGACATGAAATGTGCGCAGGGAGAATGAGCTGCACATTTCATCGCGCATTGCGCAAATCGCATTGAGGAGCGAATCACTGAGCAAGAGGCGCGAACGTAATACACGCCCTGCCTTTTCTTAAGCGGCCGATGACTATAGGAGACACGCCGGTAACTCTTGTGATGCACTCACCTGATTGTTGTATGTCTGCACATGTTTTATGTTGGCGAGGAACTCGTGGTTTTCTTTGGTCAGATTGTAGATAAAGTCTGGCCAGTGCAGGATGTTGGCTGCGCGCGCGACGATGCTCGCGGAAAGTCTGAAATCAGTTGTACGTAGAACGTAAAATATTATTTATAAACAGACCTCTTTGCTCGGCAAGGGATTCAGGTTTAATGTATGAGTGCACTGCTTGACACTTAACCGATTACACATCTTAACCTCTCGTGAAAAAAAAGTAAATATTTGAATTGCTCCTTTTGTTAAAGGTTCACGTTATGTTTTAAGAGGACATCTAATTGTACCAAAAAATGTCCTGGAGACTGGAGTAGGCTTATTATCGTAATTGGTAGCTATACGGAGTAGTGTAATAGAATAAGTAGACCCTGGTTGTTGTAAGATATGTACTTGCATGTATTTACCTAAATATACAGTTTAAGGCTTTCCGAAGATATGAACGTCACAGCTCGGCGTAAGAAACCTAGACCTTGTTCAACGGATTGGGATAAAATTGCATAAAGGTTTACTTAATTACTGCCCAAATAGTCACTGAAATCTGAAGAAACACAGAATATGGCTTACTATTTTTGACAAATTGGAGCGCGCTGGTAAGTTACAGGGATCAAAGAAAAGCGATCATATAGAACGAGCACAGGACATGTCGCTTTCCATTTATCCTTGTGGCTTACGATTCTCCAGCTTTAATTTTTTTTTGTCGGGATTGGGTCTTTGGTGTTCTGAGTAGCTAATGCCTTAACCTCACTGGCTGCCGAATGATAATACGACAATCGGGACTTGCCACAGGCTGCTTTTCTTAATCTGTTAGTGATATAGCAACATCTCATGACCCACGCTCGATGAAAACAAGAGAAGCAGGAAACATAGTAAAGCACAAGGCGAGGCTAGTCAGCGTGTTTTTAAGGCTTTGAATGCATATAATTATTACCAGGGTACTTTCCATTTGTAGTAGTTCTTTATTTCTCTGTTATTATTGCTTTTTTTCAAAAAGGGGAGGGGGTTGAACAAAGGGGGAACTTTTGAATATAGTCATGCGCTGTTCTGTTTACAAAGACTAGTAATAAATGATTTAGGTAACTGAAAAATCGCTAGAAGAAGCTCGAGGGTATATTACATTATTTACCACCATTATCTTTAATTTTAGACTTGTTCCTTCTTTGCGCAGATTTGGTTGTTAGCTCGACTTCCATCACATCACAATTGCTGGAAGGGGGGAGATCAGATGACTAGGGAAATTTTAGGGGCCTGCACGATAAAAAAAAAGGGTCTGGGCAATGTGTAGGCCCAACATTGGTCACTTTACATAGGAAAGAGATACGTTATCTTGACAGGTGCTGAATTGGACATGATGGTGTGGAATACTTTTGTTTACTTTGGAGTTTCGTCTCAATGAAAACTTAAGTTGGGAGTAAGCGCTTTCCCTGTCTACGCCCTTCTACTTTGTATTCGTTTATTGTGCACTACGCGCGCGCACGTGAGCTTGCAACCAATCGACTTACTCTTCGGTGATCTCAAGAAGTCGCATTCGTTCCACTTCTTCCTTGTCAATTTGAACTCCCATCGATGTTTCTGCACAATAATTTGTTTTTAAAAAGCAGACAACATGAAAAAAGATATTCAGTTTAATAACTGACTGCCACATCTGTACGTAATAGTTCAAAGTAAGAAAAAAAGAAGAAATCACGCTGATGTAACAGGCAAGAGGAATATGTCCGAAGGAGATGGATGGAAAATATTAAAGAAACAAACGCCGCAATGAATCGCGGCGTGTTATTTTATTTACGTACAACGTCGAATCAAGAAATTAAAACGAGCAAAGAAAATTATGTTTCAGGACGCTTAGTGGCATATCACGGTCAACAACAGCTGTTCTGTCCAAGTCACGCACTCACCGAACAAGATCGCGAAAGCGGCCCTTCGTACTATCGGTCGGACATCAAAGAAGGTCTTCTCCAGTTCGATCGTTGTCGCCATGTCATGTACCATTTCTTCTGCTCTGCGATTCATAATGGGAATGTAGTCTTCTAACGCTCTGAAGTGGAACGCCGGTGTCATCATTTTTCTTCTTGGTTTCCAGACACCTTTGTCGCTGAAGGAAGAAGAAGGGATTATTCTGAACTCTGAATAATATGTTACCTCTCACTCATCATATGTATGCTTACAATGGGTTCTCATCCCTTTAAAGATACTATTTGAAAGCATCGTACGTGGTTATAACAGGATACATCTCGCTTATTTTAAATAGCCGACCGTTACATTTCCATGCTTTCTGAATGCAAAAAAAAAAAAAACTAATATCCAACGATGACCTGTATATGACACTCTGAGGACAGCAAGTCAGACACAGATGTGGACAAAGTAGTGATAGGAACCATAGGTGTTCGCCGCATTGTTGTTTTAATAGACACTGAGAGCCGAAGAAGCCCATGGTGTGGACAAGTTCTAGTTATATCATATCGGTCTTCAGAAAAAAGATTGCGACACTAGAAGACTAGAAGAAGATAATTGCGATGTAAAAAATGAAAGACTCTAACAAACCTCGGTGATAAGAAACTATACTTCGTTTAAGCTTAGGTTCAGAAGCTGCCGATGCAATGAGCTGATGGGACCAATCAGAGAGCGTTAAAAACGGCCCATCATTGCACTCGTCGCGTCTATGTACGTCTTCTATCATCGCTGAACCAATCATAAACCGAAACGACCCAGTGACTTGGACTTTTGAGGTTGTTTCATTCGTCCCATAAACTCGTGGAGTCGGCTCCGTCTGGACCTAGGCTGAAACGAAGTATAGAGCGCAGCGCTTGAGGAGGAGAGGGTACGGAGGTGAGGGTATGCCTTTCCTCTTCCGTACCCACCACTCCTCTCCTCCTCCTCCCCTCCTCCCCTCCTCCTTCCCCCTCCTCCTCCTCCTTTCCCCTGCACTCCTCCTCCTCATCTTTTCCCTTATCCTTCCCTCTTTTCCCTTCCTTCCTCCTCCTCCTTTCCCCCTCCTCTCCTCCTACTGCTCAATTTGTTGATGGGTAACGTAACACGAAGTCGTTGCGTCATTTTCCCCGATAAAAATTGAGGGCGAACTAAATTTGTGTTGAGGTCACGTGGCGTCAACTTCCCCGCTAAATTTAGCGAGGAACTTAGCCCGCTTAAGTTAGCGGGTATTTTTTTCCGTTAAATTTAGCGGGGAAACTTTCCGCTAAATTTATCTGGAAAATTTCTCGCTAAATTTAGAGGAAAAATTTCCCCGCTAAGCCTTTCGGAAAAATTTTCCCTGCTAAATTTAGTGGAAAAATTCCCCCGAAATACCAAAGTTGAAAGCTGGGCTTGTTGGTGTAGGCTAAACCAATGGCGTATCAACTTGCTTTTGAGTAAGGGGGGCTGGGCAAACCAGACCCCCCCCCCCCCCCCCTCTGGGCCGGGGGGCGGTGCCCTTGGTATCTCTTGGGCGCCGCCGGCCATGCAGGGTTTGCCCTGCCCAGTGGCGGCTGTTGCAGGGGGCAAATCATATGCCTTGACCCCCCCCCCCCCGCTCTGAGAACAGGGGGGAGGGGGGGGGGGGCAAGCGCCCCCTTGCCCTCCCGGTTGGTACGCCCATGGGCTAAACATACTTTAGGTAAAACAGCGCAGAACGACAAAGACTAGAAGGAAGGAACAAACAGGACGGGACAGGAAGAGACAGCGCCTCTCCCGTCCTGTTTGTTCCTTCCTTCTTGTCTTTGCCGTCCTGCGCTGTTTTAGCTACATTATGTTTCCCCCGCTAAATGTTTAGTAAAAATATCCAGCGAAATTTAGCGGCAAGTTTTCCCCGCTAAATTTAGCGGAAAATTTCCCCTCTAACTCTAGCGGGGAAGCGTCCCATAATGCAAAGCGCGGTTACGCCGACATCGACGCCGCTCAACACGGAAACGGGCGCCTAAGAGCTGCGCTCTAAGAAATTAAAGACGTTTAAAGCCCGTTCACATTCTTGCCGGCCTCTTAAAACTGGATTCTTAAAAACCTGTTAAGTCGAAAGGACACACTGGTGCCATCTATTGGGTTGCAGTGTAAACTTGGCGGTCCTGCATATTTTCTATTTCCCTCGCAAATTATCCTTTCTTTCTTGGCTCGAAAAACTTTTGTCAACGTTATAAACGAGCCTTTCTTTAAGGTATTAGGCACATTTGACCCCGGAAATACCGCAAAACGTTCGCTCTTGTGAAATGCAGTTCCAGGGTCACCGCATAGATGGCGCCAGCGTGCCAGTGTGTTCTCTCGTCCTAAGATAATTTAAGAGGTTTTAACAAGCATCGTCTCTCACGGTCGTACTGGGTTGCAACAGTGTGAACGGGCCTTTACACAACTCTGCGACGCGAAATTAGAGCGCAGCTCTTGTGGAGGAGAAGTGTAGAGTACGAAAGGGAGGGTATGACCGTCCTTTTTAGAGCGCAGCTCTTAGGGGCCCGTTCCCGGCTTGAGCGGCGTCGGCGTCGCCGTCGGCGTCGGCGTAACCAAGGTCATCCCAAGGTCACGTGGCCCCCAAGGTCATCCCAAGGTCACGTGACCCCCAAGGTCACCCCAAGGTCACGTGACACCCAAAGTCACGTGACCCCCCTGAAGTCACGAGGCCCCCGAGGTCACGTGACCCCCCCCCCGAAGTCACGTGACACCCCCAGGGTCACGTGACCCCCGCCGAGGTCACGTGACCTCCCCGATGACGGCATCGATGACGTCACCGGCATCCGCCTCGTCATCGTCATCATCACTGATGACGTCATCAGTGATGATGACGATGACGATGCGGATGCCGGTGACGTCATCGATGACGTCATCAGTGATGATGACGATGACGATGCGGATGCCGGTGACGTCATCAGTGACGTCACTGATGACGTCATCAGTGATGATGACGATGACGATGCGGATGTCGGTGAGGTCATCAGTGACGTCACTGATGACGTCATCAGTGCTGATGACGATGACGATGCGGATGCCGGTGACGTCATCAGTGACGATGACGTCATCGGGGAGGTCACGTGACTTCGGGGGGCATCCGCATCGTCATCGTCATCATCACAGATGACGTCATCAGTGACGTCACTGATGACGTCACCGACATTCGCATCGTCATCGTCATCATCGCTGATGACGTCATCGGAGTCCGCATCGTCATCGTCACTGATGACGTCATCAGTGACGTCACTGATGACATCATCGGCATGGTCACGTGACTCCCCAAGGTCACGTGACCCCCCCCAGGTCACTTCACCCCCCAGTATTCTTCCCTCCTCCTCCTCAAGAGCTGCGCTCTAATTCGGTGTTACAGGGAGTTGTAAACGGCTTTCACTTTTTTTCGTTTCCCTCTCCACCTCCGCTCCTCCTCTCGTCCATCTCCCCTCCTCCTCCTTCCTGCCCCCCTTGTCCTCGTCTCCCCTCCTCCTCTCCCCTACTCCTACACCTCCTCTAACCTCCTCCATTTATCATCCTCCTCTCCCCTCCTCCTCCTCACCCCGACTCCTCCGCCTCCTCCTCCCCTCCTCCTTCTTCTCTGCACCTTCCCGTCTTCCTCCTCCTCCGCACGTGACGTCAATTTTCCTGGTAAATCTAGCGGAGAAACTGAATTTGCTGATACGTGACGTGACACCAAGTCATGTGACGTCATTTTCCCGGCTAAATTTAGCAGGGAAAATTAAGGTCACTTGATGTCAATTTCCCCGCTAAATTTAGCGCGGTTACGCCGACGCCGATGGCGACGCCGACGGCGGCGCCACTCAACCTGGAAACTGACGCCTAAGAGCAGCGCTCTAAAATGGGAGCATAACGAGTTATGCCTTGCATTTCTTAAACACTGAGTCGCTATGTTAATTCTTACCTTACATAGTCTTGTCAGTCGCTAATAATATTACAATCAATGAACAAAATGACAAATGAAGTATGCGACAGACCATGGGGAGAGATTCTGTGCAGTGAAGATGAGCAAAAACTCAAAGTCCTATGAGTTATTGAGTATCGCTCCCTCTCCACCCCCTTGGCATGCTTTGATGAAGCGTGCAACGTACTACTTGCGGCTGATCATCTTCTGGAAGGGTTCCAGCGATTCATGGCTTTCATGCCAATTCAAGATCGAAGGTTTGTTTTCTAAGAATGAAATATTTTTAATTATATTTTAATTCCCCTGGAATGCTTTTTCTTTCTTTTTTTTATTGACGCCGCTATTCTGTGATCATCACATTTTTAACGCAAGAATAAACTTCAGCAAGAATCCTATCGCCCAAATTGTTAGGTCGTGAGAAAGAAGACTCATAGTATTAAGTGAAAATTTAACGAGCTTTTTCCATGGAAATACCTTATCAAAATTCCATTGCCAACCCAGGGTCTCATCATCTGGTAGATGAAAGATTTGTTCAAGTTTGAGGTACTTTTCAAGATGGCCTGCAATAAAAAAAATTGCGACTTTACAACGGAAATATGTAAAAACTACGGTTACCAAGATGTATTAGACTAACAATACAGAAAATAGCAAAAATTATCATTCGCCTCGATCTACAATAGACATCCGAAACAATAAAACGCCAGGTTAATTATGGAGCCAATTAAAAGCAATGTGGTATGTATTGCTCTGACGTGCGATGTACCCTGTCCAGGAGCGCGCACTGATAGGCACGCCGGAATAATATATAACGTGGTTTCAAACTGGCTCGTGATTAGATCTGGCGGCTGTTGGTTTGGATATAGTTTATCGAAAGCAAGATTCGGTAAAATGCAGCAAATTTTATTTAATACAGTCACTGACAGTTTCAGAATCGCAGGGAGTGTCGAAGTTCGAGCCCCTTATTATCGTTCCGGAGCTAATAAGATTGCGGCACTAACCGATAAAAAACACCTAACAACAAATGACGAGGCAACGAACACGAGCATAATAAACCACTTTCGGTGTTTCGTAAGCCGTGACTATGCACTTGAAACACGAAAGAATAAAACACTTCAGAAGGGACACACACAGACAGGACAGTTCTTTTATGTCTGTATAGACATGAAAGTCACATGTATATATAGACATGTGACTATAGACATGAGCGCGTATGCGCCATACAATTAAATCAAAGTAAAGGGAAACGATTTATTCAAGGACGCGTTTCAAACAAGGAAACATTTTTCAGCAAGTTTGAACATAAATATTAAGAATAAGATTTTTTCCCCTTCTTTCCACATCTCTAGAGTTATCTACGCACCTCCATGGCCATCGGTGTGGCACCCACAAGAAACGGTTGCGGGCCATAGAACGCAACCGTGAAGTCCTGGTCGATGATCTTTGGAAACATCTCCTTTGTGTAATTGTAGATTTCTGCAGAAATAAACGTGGAGCAATGTATACACTAAAATAATGTTAAAAAAATACTTGACTTCAGATATATATATATATATATATATATATATATATATATATATATATATATATATATATATATATATATATGTATATATAACAGAACTCAAGTATTTATTTTGTCACGAATTAATGCGACGAGAGGGCGAACAGTGAACTGAAAATAAAGGTTTAATGGGCGAACTTTTGCCAACCAAAAATAAGTAACGAAAGAGCGTCGAGAATGCAGAAAAGCAGGCGGCGATTCGGCGGCGAATCAGAGAGCGCGAGCGAGAGTGAGACTGCCTCGACAAGGTCGCGGGCAGCTGCTTGTCTACCGTGCGTCACTATCTCGATAGTTCGGCAAAGAAGGTTCGAGCGTCGCGCGCTCGGGGCGAGGATGAACTGGCACTTTCGAGAATAACAAAGCAGAGGGGAAGTTACGTCTGCTGCGAGAATGACCGGGAATCTTCTAGAAGACCGTGACCAAGCGTTGCCTTCTCGGCTCTGCGGGCGGCGTTATCCCCCTTTTAAAAGTGCATCGCCCCGATGCAAAACGAAAGGAAAACGGAAATGGCTAAAACAATTACGGCGAAACGAAACAAGCATGCAGTGTCACAATCCTAACGCGCGTAGAACGGCTTGAGTCCAACTACGTGGACGACTTCGGGTCGTGGCTGGCGGCGTCCTGATGGTCGAGTTCCGTCGGGGAGCACCTCGTAGTTCAAATCCCCAAGGCGGCGGATGACCTTGTATGGTCCAAAGTAACGTTTTAACAGTTTCTCGCTGAGGCCGCGGCGGCGAATGGGCGTCCACACCCATACCCTGTCTCCGGGCTGGAACTCCACGTCGCGGCGGCGAAGGTTGTACCGGCCAGCGTCCACACGTCGCTGGTCCTTTATTCGAAGACGGGCTAGCTGGCGTATTTCTGCTCGTTAGGTGACCAGCTGGGCGTCGTCAGTGCCGTCGTCCGTCGGGTCGTGGGGCAGCATGGCGTCGAGCAGCGTCGTCACCTTTCTGCCGTGCACCAGCTGAGAGGGTGTAATGCCGGTAGTTTCTTGAATCGCCGTGTTGTACGCAAACGTGACGTAGGGCAACACTTCATCCCACGTCTTGTGTTCCACGTCCACGTGCATCGAAATCTTGTCGGCGATGGCCTTGTTTAGTCGCTCCGTCAGCCCGTTGGTCTGCGGGTGGTATGCCGTGGTCCGGCGGTGGTCGGTGTGGCTCAGGCGGACTATCTCTTGTGTCAGTTGCGCCATGAACGAGAATCTTCGGTCCGTAATCAGGACTTGGGGAGCGCCGTGTCGGAGGACGATAGACTCCACAAAGAACTTGGCTACTTCCACGGCGGTCGCGGGTCGTCGGGGTGGAAGCCGCGTAGCCCCAGCTGCCGGTACGGGCAACGGCGGTAGACATGGTCGGCTTCCCCGCAATGGTAGCAGAGCGGCGTCGGTTGGCGGTTTGCCACACGTCGGTCTTCCTCGGCGAGGGTCGCTCTGGGCGAACGTCCTGGGCTTGTTCTTGGCGTCGAAGGATTTGCGGCGTTGGATTGTCCCGTCGAGACGATGCCTGGTATTGATGGGCAACAGGCGGCGGTCGGCGGGCTACGGCGGCGTAGCTCAGTGTCGGCTCCTCTTGCGCCACCATGGTGCCGAGAACCTTTGGCCGGAGTGTCCGGTGAATTTCTTCACGGACAGCCTCAGCGATGGAGAGGGATGTCGGAGGACTGGCCGCAGGTAGCAACTTTTGGAGCTCCTCCCGGACGACGTCGCGGATAACCTCACGGATGTCCCGGGTACGGGCGCCGATCTCGTCGTTAAGCAGCGTGGAGGCAACGACGCCGGGATGTCGTTGGTAGGAGGAGGCGCGTGCTTGGAGGGCGCGCTCCATGTTCGTTGCCTCAATGACAAACGCATCGACGGTGGTTGGAGGGTTGCGGACGAGGAGCCCAAAGATGTCGTCCCTCACCCCGCGCATGAGGACGCGCAGCTTCTTGTCGTCGGCGGCTAGTGGGTCGGCACGCGCGCTCAGACGCAGGACGTCTTGAACGAAGCTGTTGACGCTTTCGTTGGGACCTTGCGTCCTCGTCCGAAGGAGATCTGCTCTCTCCCGTCGGTATAGAGTGGCGAACGTCCGCTGCAACTCGGCCACACAGATGTCCCACGACGTAAGCGAAGCCTCGTGATTCTCGAACCAATGCCTCGCAGTACCCTCCAGCGAAAAGTAGAGGTTCTGGAGGCGTTGCTCGGCGTTCCATCCGTTCTGGCGGGCCACGCGCTCATAGTGAAGGATCCAGTCCTCGACGTCTTCATAGATTTCGCCATGGAAAGGTGTCGGCGACCGGGGGGCGACGGGCAGGACAACGACGGGCGGAGCGGTCATCGTCGCGGTCTTCTTTGAATTCTGCGGCAGGGGTCCGAGTTCAGGAGCTTGCCCTTGAAGACAGCGGCTGTCACGATGCTCTGAGTCTTCAACGGAAGGTCGTCGGGGAATGGGGCTTGCTGACCGAGTTCTTTGTAGGGGTACGCTGCACGGGTTTTGTACCCTGCACCTCCACCAGAAATGTCACGAATTAATGCGACGAGAAGGCGAACAGTGAACTGAAAATAAAGGTTTAATTGGCGAACTTGTGCCAACCAAAAATAAGTAACGCAAGAGCGTCGAGACAGCAGAAAAGCAGGCAGCGATTCGGCGGCGAATCAGAGAGCGCGAGCGAGAGTGAGACTGCCTCGACAAGGTGGCGGGCAGCTGCTTATCTACCCTGCGTCACTATCTCGATAGTTCGGCAAAGAAGGTTCGAGCGTCGCGCGCTCGGGGCGAGGATGAATTGGCACTTTCGAGAATAACAAAGCAGAGGGAAAGTTACGTCTGCTGCGAGAATGATCGAGGATCTTCTAGAAGACCGTGACCAAGCGTTGCCTTCTCGGCTCTGCGGGCGGCAATATATATATATAGTATATATATATATTTTTTTTATCTTTTTTTGCGTGCACTCTACGATATTTGGGTTGTCAATGTCTCGCAAAGCACGGGGGGAGTCGATCGCTGCTATCTACGGAGAAAGCTCGGTGAATGTCGCGGCTGAAAATGTGTTTGCACCTAAGAAATAGGAGAAATTCAGTACAGTGTCACTCTGGACATGACGTTTCACATGTCAGGGCAAGCAAAATGAAAGGCAAAGCACTGACTTTCAACTGAGTTTATTGGGAAATCACACACAATGAAGTGAAAAAAAAGTACGGTATCTTTTTCACCGGGTGATTGACTATACGATTTTCAGTCAACTTGGTGAAAGGTATATTTTTTTTTTCGAGTCTTCCCTGGTCCTTCGTCTCTTTTTTGGCGCTGTTTTTAGTGTTTGAAAATGGATACCCAACTCGTCCAAGTTTCTGCCATTCTTCGTTTCACGCCCCTTTGTAACACCAAGTGTTACAGCGCTCCGGGTCCTCTTGTTCTCCGTCTCTGTCCTTGTGGCACCTATTCTTCTTTCCATGCCCCCAACAAGCCCCATTATCCATTTCCTTTTCGTACATTGCGGCGATTGGCTCTCACAAGTGCCTTGCGGAAGATGAGACACACTGTGATTTTTACAAAGTGTACGACGTACAAGGTCGTCTTCTCTTTGCTCACCTTCGGAGTCCTTCCCACACTTAAATGCTACCACGTGCGCGTGTTTCGAAGCGCCGAAGACGCATTTGAGAATACCTTCTCGCCGTATATAGACAAAGAATGTTTAAGAAATTTAGGGTGTAACGAGCGATGAGCATCCCATAATATTGCTCCGCTGCTAATCAGACTATTAAAGAGCGCGAATCACGAGGCGACAAACGCGGACAAAATAAACCGGGCGTTTATTGCGTTTTCTGTGGCTTTATATATATATTTACTCTTAGTTTGATGATAGCAGTATAAGTGACCAGTCTTGAGGATGAAACGGGGCTCTTGTTGAAAATAGGGAGTTTCGTAGTCACTTCCGACAGCATAAGAAAAAAAGCTGGGGGTGGGATAGCAGGTTCCCGCTTCTTCCGAAACAAAAATAAGATGCTTGGAACTCGGCTATCAATACATGTTTCTAAACTGATAGTGACTATCGCCAAAAGTTTTCCTCGTCCGTACATAAGTCCGATCTTCTGTTTTGTCGCATGGTTCGAAATGGCAAATATAGCACAAGCTTTGGATAATCTATTTAGCAAACGTATCATTTACTGAAAACGTAAAGGCATAACAAAACATAAAAAAGAGATGTGACGAAATATTTTAGTGTTTTCTTAGAACAATATAATAAAAATCAAAATAGTTTTATCATGTGAAAACGAAGAACACAAGTTTATTTGTATATATAGTTCACACGTTACACTTTGATGTTTCATTTATAACGCCAGCGGAACAAATATATCCAAATATTATAAATCAAGTTTTGGCAGTTTGCTGTGGAGGCCTCCAGGCCAGCGGTATTTATACTTGCAACTAATTTATAACCAAATAGCTTAAATACATGACAAGACTGCCGATTCTGTGTTTTAACTGGAGGTTCAGCGTAGCTAATATGTTTCGCAATAATTGTTTTAATTCTTGAGGCGAGCAATGATAAAGTACCGCGGAAATGTACATGATCACGTTCGCTGGTCTCGGTATAATTAGTAAAGCTTCGATAACTTAACGAAAGGTAAACTCCTACTGAGTTGCTCGGTAAGATAATGAAAATCTATGCAAAGAAAATGTACGAATAACACAAATTACACGCTTTAAGATAAAGCACAATCCAAATAGCGGTAAAAAGTATTATAGGATAGACCAAGTTCGAGGCATCTAGTACGCCTCTCCCTATTCAAAACATCGCGTTTAGTACATAAAAAAATACGAGCAAACTTTCCTATAGCACTGATGCATTTTTGGAAAGATGCGGCAGGGTAAGATACACCTTTCTCGTGCGTGACATCTGCGTCCGGGAACTGCCCCCCCCCCCCCCCCCAAAAAAAAACAACAAAAAAAAAAACAAACACAAAGTGCAGTCGTACTTGCAGTGATGTGCAACTGAGGATCCATTCGTGCAAAGGCCAACGGTATGTCTAGGAGAAGCGAAAATGGCCCTCTCTGCGGTGGTCTGGGGGCGTTGCGCAGAATCCAGCACATGCGAAGCCACTTGATGACCAGCCTCGAGCAAGCTACGGCGAGCAACGTCGACACAAACGTGAAAAGAAACGAAGTTTTGATGCCGGTCATGCCCCAGCCGTCCAGTATCCTGCTACTTAAAATTGACGTCGACATGATTCCCGTTCAAAACCTGCAACACCAATGCGGCATCGAGCGTGCCGCTACTCAGGTGTAAACACTTTTGCACTACTGGGAGCGATCGACGTGGGCTGACAAAGATTGCAGTCGTATCTGCGCATTCGATTTGGTTACCCGGAGAGCTTTACGTTCGTAATAAGCCAATCCAAGGAAAGGAAAATTGATCTAAGAGACTGGAGCCTGTCTAAGAGGAGAGGAGTCCTCTTCTCTTTTTTCTTTCAGTTACTTCGTTTGTTTTTGTTTCTATTTGGCAAGGTGATGGCCGTGTTTAGCAGGAATAGTATCCTTCTCCTTTCCGGCGTCGTTTCAATAATACCACTGTCAGGCACGTAGCCAGGGGAAGGCTCATGGGGCCCGGCCCCCCCCCCCCCCCCCCCCCGAAATCTTTCATTTTTCTGGAAACTCCTCTCCCCCCTCCGCCTCATACAGCAGTTTGTGATGGGCGAACCCCGCCCCCCCCCCCCCCCCCCCCCCCCGAAACAAAATCCTGGCTACGTGCCTGACCGTTGCAAAGTCAAGAGGTAATTCCCTAACGACGCGTCTAGAAGGAGGAGGGTACTATTTCCCCAAGGCACGCGCCGTCCTCCTCCCCGTAGTTTCATGGCCATCACCTCGCACTTTTGAATAACAGGCGGGGTTTAAGAGGAGTGCGGTGATTTCCGCGTTATATCCGAAGGACTAATGACAGGGCGCGCACTGTTGTGAAGTTTACCCTGGCTGCCCACACCTTCGGTCTAAATGTTCGTACAGTCATTTACAGGTAAATGACTGTACGTTTTCCTTTCTTGCTTTGTGATTGATTCTTGGGCCTTCTTAATGGCTAACTCCCGAATATCATTGGCTGCGGAGTGATAACGAGGCGTTTCTGGCTGACCACACCCTGCCTGTCTTAAGCTCTCAGAGACTATTGTGCCGATGTCTTTGTCCTCATCATGTGCACTAGCGCTTGGAAACCACATTAAACGGCCCGCAAAAAAAAAAAAAGAAAAAAAAGAGAGCCTTTTACGCGCCTGGTTCCAAGTTACTACAAAGGTGCGGCTCAGTGCTGGAAGTTTAGAGTGAAAATTTGAACGGCTTAAATTACCTCTTTACAATAAAAGAACCTGTTTCGGGCAACCCACGGTTGCTTTCGCCGATGGTGGCTTAACCGTGCTCGCTGAGTTTTCAATGCTGCAGACGGATTGTGTATCGTGAAGAACGAGAGGATGAGACGCTTCGGTCGATCATCTCCGTACAGGCAATGGGGAGTACCTCTTTTCGCATTTTATTTACTAATAGGAGTATCGTACCTTGATTGTATTTTACAGTTATATGTGCTTCGCGCTGAGGAAGAGTAGTGTCAACTTTCGGAAAATCGTCTGCTAAGCTCGGTGCCGGGGATTCCTCGTCGCTTTAGACATATGCCGACAGCATTGCGCAGACGACGTCGGCGCATGCCGTCATAGACTACCCTAGACAGGTTCCTCTTCTTGCTTCACTTTTTGAACGAAGTAAATTCATCCGTTAATCTTTTTTTCTTGCTAGCTCGCGCCACTTACCCGCAACTATGTTGTAAATCGCAGCGCAATACGTTTGAAAGACGATTTTTTCAAACCGTCTAAGATGGGTTTGAGGCGTTATTGTACACGTTGTAGTTATCCGAAAGCAAAGTGTAACGCAGTGAAATAAATTTTTGAATAATGAGATACTAAGATTATTAGAAAATATGAATCGTAAATTACGCAAGATATGTAATCTGCTCGCTATGAGACTTAGCTGTGTCACTTTTGATATGTATGTATTATTATTAGAGGCCGGATCTTTAGGCAAATGCTCATATTATTCCTTTCGTCCCTATCGTGCCTTTTTTGTATATGGGCACGAATTACGAGTCAAGGAGGGTTTTAAGAGCGGTTTTATAGTTCCTATAAATGACTATTTCGGCGTTTGAGCCTAAATTACCGTTTCGCGCCTATAACAGCCTATTTTTCACTTATTTTTTTTCCCTACCCCAAAACGACTTGTTCTGTTTAGTTTCACTTTCAAGCAAACCATTTTTCATCTTGCTGCGATGCGTGGCTACAGGCTGCTCTAATCTCTGTCCCGAAATCCCCCCAAACGTCATTGTTTGTTTGTTTTTTCTTCACGCCTGTAAGCCAACGCCCAAACGGCGCCTTCTTTCTATAGAAGGCTCTTCCCGCCCTTCCCCACGCATCGTCTTTTTTTCTATTTCTTGCAGCGCCTTTGCCTTTTCCCCTTCTCGCCTCGCCCAACAGAAGCGGGTTTGTTGTCTTTACATGACTGGACAGCGTGGAGCCCGGGAGCTGCCCGGAGGCTGGAAGTCTGGATCTGAATTCTGCTGTACTTCGTTTCACGCTAAATGGACATTAGTGGATGCGTCTCAGCCAGTCCAGCGCTGGGAGAGTGGCAGCGACCTGGAGTCAATGCGCGTCGTTCCGCCCAACTGAAAGCTCCACCGACGTCCTCGTAGTACTGAGTCGGTTTTGATGGCTCGTCCTATTCGCTGCGGGTCATTGGAAGATTGGGAAACGGAACGTAATGCTTACCGAAAAGCTTTTTTTTTTTTTTTTCTTTCTAGTGACTGAGCGCGTGGGTCTGTTTTCATATGCATGTGCGTGCGTGCCAGCCTACACGTGAGGTGAAGGAAATCGGAAGCCATGGTTTGCTCTTCTCGCGCTAACCGGTCTCTAACGTTTTTGTCAAGTATTTGTTTTTTGTGTCCGGGGGTCTGTGGTTTGCTGCTTTTCGCTTTCGCTGCCTGAAGCTTCTCAACAATGCCACAAAAAAGGAGGTCCCAAAGAACCTGCTGATTTGACAATGTACCCAACATTCCATTTGTTACTCGACCGACGGGAATATATGATCTTCTCTCAATCGTAAGGGAAGCAGAAAAGAAGACATCCTTAGCTAAATTGTTTAGTCGAAAAACCAAACCTTGATCGACCGACGATTTACTGAATGAAAACGAGACCATGACGTTTCATCGAGTGACAGCTTCGTTTTTCCTGATCGATGGCGAGGGGTAAGCGCGCCATTCTAAAAGCCTTAGAAACCGAGCCAGTTTAAAAGTCATATTGTTATGTTCAAATGAGCATATTAATTTTCTCATTAAAATAAGTAATTACAAGTGAACATGATACAACCTACCGTAGAAGGTAAGTACAGTTAGCACATGTGACCTGCAAGAAGTAATATGCTATATGCATACAAACGCTGCACTTTTGTGAAACAATAATATATTTCAGACTGTATTATCTGAGTAGGTTCGAGCTTACCCTAACACGTAGTATAATTGAAAAAAAACTTTACGTATATACACTTTAGTTTGGGTTGACTGCAGAAGCAGAATTTATGTCCTTGCTTAGCACACAACTAAATAGCTAAGTGCAATAAAGCTATCTAAAAGGTTTAACTCAGAATCGAGAGTGTGTCGTAGTATACAACAAACGTACTTTAAGCGTACTTTCTCGTTTAAAAAAAAAGTATAATAAATAGAATACTTTTAATATGTTGTCCTTCTGGCAACGCGAGCCGTGCTGGTTCGAATTGCGGAGGAAGGTAAATGCCTGACTAACCTGACGTTTTTCGAAATGAGGCTACAGGAAGAAAACACGGAACGTGTTGTCCTTTGTGCGCGGATTTCCCGGCTAGAGTATACCGAGGATTTATTCAAATGACCAGCCGACTACGGGGATTGCTCTGAAACTTGTTCATTTTCTATGCATCTTTAAACCCCCCTTATACAGAAGTTTAATTTGTTGACTACAAAATGGAGGTACTATTTTTTAATGTTTTTTTTTTCAAGTGAAAAATTTGTATTACCGTTTACTAGCGGAGGAAATTCGTCGTCATGCTGGTCGTTCTCTTGGTGTGAACTTGAGCTCCAGCCCCTCGGGTGCAGTGAGGACGATTTCGAAGGCGAGCTGAAGCTTCTCCATCGGCACCTTCGACTCAACCTTATACCTTCTCATGACCTGGGTGAGAAGAATAATTTATTCGAACTGTGCAAACTTTTGACCTGTAAGAGGACTAAACATTTTATCTGATCTAAAAAATTGTGAACACGTTGTTTTTTGTTTGTTTTTTGTTACACTGACCTGTTAGCAATATTTTATATAAAACGGGTGCTTAAGAGTGCCGTTATATGAAAAAGACTATTGAATGTAAACACTGTTCGAATAGCTTAATAATCAATAAATCCACCCAACACTTTCCACAGTGATTTAAAATTACAGTAAATTTTGAATTGTTCAGATGTGTGGGGTTTCAGTGGCCCAACAATAAATAACTGGCATATATTGCTGGTTCAGTAAGTTGTTTAATCACTGCACTAAAGTCATAATAACATAAATTACTTGCGTATTCGATCAAGAAGAAAACACTCGCACATTCCTTGTTCATTAAATGTCTACAGTGGCGTCGTTTATTTATTAATACAATCTGTCATATTCAGTGATTCGCGCTGAAGAAATAAAGGATGACTAAACGTGTCCTTTTAAATTTTATCTAACTTTTTGGCAGCTGCAAATGTTCTATAAAGACGTATTCCTCAAGTGTTTTTTATTAGTTTTATTGATTGAGTATCGTTTCTAAACTTTCTCAGCAAGTTGATTTTCTGCTACAACCTCGTTGCTGGTAATGTGTTTTAACCAAGAGTCTTACCAATGCAATTCCTAGGTCCAGCAGAGAAAGGCACAAACTGGAAGGGATGCCTGTTTTTTGTTTCTTAGAAGCGCTCTGGTATGAAGACGTCAGGGTTTTCGAAGTATTTTGGATGCCGATGCATGTAAAAGATCAAAGCCAAGGCCACAGTACCCTCTGGAATTGTTTGCTCACCTGGAAGTAAAGTTCAATCAACATGAACATGAACCAGGGTAAAATAAAAAGTTAAAAATCGTTTTCATATTTATGAATTTTATTACTTTCTTTGTCTAAGATGCTAAAGAATTTGAACTAAACTTGTCTAAATCGTTTACTCAAGTAAATAAACAAACAATTTGAATATTGCCAATCTTGATACCTTTATCGATCATTCTCGCCAAGAGTAGTACAGCAGGATATACGCGCATTGACTTCTGTAATAAAATGTTCGCTTAGTTGAAATAAGCATAAAACTATTATACCAAAAACGTGCAATGTTCGGCGAATAACGTATTTTATATTCGCGCCTGTCACTACATTTTCGTGTTTTATTTATTAGTCTTACTCGGCGTATTTTAAAAAGCTTATTGCTAAAATTTCTCTAAACGCTATCAAAAGAATTATAGACTAACCAAAAATGTTGGTGTATGTGTAATATTTACATTTATAGGTCAACATTTTAAAAATAAAGAATTTCAACGTCCGTGGCGACAACTAAACTTTACGTATTTGCAGCGTTAATGACTCTTTCTGACGGTTCTTTGGTTCTACATTCGTCCTTTTTTATACATCGACAACGTGTGAAGGCTTTCACTGCTCTTAATAGGGCCACCAAACCGTGATACTGTGTGCACCAGTACATCGCCGCTCGATAGCACGACTGCTCATTGGTTAAACCCGGGAGAGCACACGTGACGAGGGAAGGGGCACGGCGGACTTTTATGAGTATCCGAGAGCTGTCCCGCTTTGTTCAGTGAACATTGGTCACACGACATCCCCAAGACCCGCCCCATTATATGTAGCTGACGTTGGTCACGTGACTCTTTCAGCAGGATGATGATGTGACATATCTAGCACGTGATTATGCTGCGCTGTGTCAATGACATCTCTGAGGCCACCACAAGGCACCATAATATCCCACGACACCAACCACGTGACTATGACACGTGACGACATGGTCAGGTTTCGAAATCATTGAAAACAAGTGGCAATACAACGCAAAACTATTTAGTCATATTCTCACGTGACACTCTGTCGTCATGCGACAGTGATCCTCATGACGTGGCGTCACGTGACAGTGCGACGTCACACTTCACGCGCGTGATGTGACGTAACGTTACGTGCCACCAATTGGTACCGTGACGTCACGTGACCATGATCTCCTTACCACGTGACCTCCATACCAAATTATATATAGTTTATTACTATCGCAATACATCTCCTTTGGCAGCAGCCAGAGAGAGGGTGTGGCTTCTTTACAATTTCAAGCTCTTGTATTTAAAATTTGGGCTATACGTCGTTTCACCCCAAGTTTCGACGCAGCCCACTCTATAAGCTGATGGACCATAAGACGACGTCAAAATCGCAGTATCATGGTGCTCGCCATGTGTCCGTACGTGCTCTATCATAGCTAAACCAATCATAAACAAAAAAAGCCTTGTGACTTGTTCTTTTGACGCTGCTTTATTGGTCCTATTATCTCATGGCCTCGGTTGAGTCTGGATTTAAGCTGAAACGAAGTATAGTTGGTCCCTCTTCGTGATAAAAGAAACATGAGCAGAACAAGAACGAAGGATGCCAAGAAACAAGACTAGATGCCTGATATATTCGCTCCGATCAGTTACAAAAAAGCCAGTGTGTTTAGAGAGGTTGACATTAGAACATTCGTAAGAACCCTCTTGCTAAAAAAAATGAAAAAAAAGGAAGTCTGGATTTTAAGCAGCTTACAGCGCGCAAGCTTTTTTCAAACGAATTCAGACACTACATGCCCATCTCATGTCTGATTTAAAAGTTAAGAAAATAGCATAAGGAAATACACAATGGACGTTACGCCTACAGCCAACGCGCATTTCTTCCTTCGGGGATCTTATCCTACCTTTATGGCACACTCGGTGTTCTTCAGACGCTTGATGTCAACAAGAGTCACGGGTCTCTCCCAGTCATCCCCGAATATTTCGTCCATTTCTTCGTGTACCTCCTTTTTGGACTTCAGGATGATGGCCAAGAAGATAAAGACAGAATGACGCAGAAGTTGCTCTCGTTTCAAATCCCTGGAGAAAATTTAATGCAACACAAATTGATTTCTGGGAGTTATGAACCGCTCTCTTCCTCTTGGATGTGGTTAACAACACATCGCGACATCGTTCGTCTTCCTCAACGGTATTTTAGGTTTATTTCGAGCAACACCATGACGAGTACTAAGGGATATCTTGTACAAAGTTAATATTCCACCAAGACGCATTCGAGGCCTATTAAAGTCGAGAAAATGGTTGTTAATCTCCAGTAAAATAATTAGACTGTTCAATAGCTCCGAAAAAAATATAAGATCAACGCGCGTGCTGTTTTGCTAATATTAGTAATAATAAAAATAGAATTGAAATATTCCGGTACCTCCAAAACGGTAACGCAAATACGTGTATAAGGAATAGCACACTGTGCTCCGCAGGTGTTTGTCGTTTCAGAGAACTTCGCCTATTCTGATTGTTGTCGATTTGGCTGGAAATAGGCAGACAGAATCACTAGCTATTTGTTTTATGCGAGACAAAATATTTTGTAAAATACAAAACATTTCATGGGCTGAAGGTACATTCATATCACGCCCTTCTCGTAAATGGTAGCAGGCGACTCTTTACTGGAGACATTAAGAAATTCCTACTTTTCCCTCCCTTTGTACGTCAAGGGCGGGAAATCAAACGGGCGATACAGGAAGCAGGAAAGTGGTGTTTACCCCAGCAGATTTCTTACCGCATCTTCAAGATTGGGGTTACCTTCATTTGGGTGGCAATCCGCGCAGTTGACTGCGCAAAAAAAAAAAAAAAAAAAAAAAAGCGGCAAGACACTTTAGCAATGTCTTTTTTTCGCCTTAACTTTCGACAAAAAAAAAAAAAAAAAAAACGAGTGCTCCGCGGCAGCATGAAGGTGTGAACCACATCTAGAACTATATTTTCGCCAACCGTGCAAGAGGCCAACTGACATCACATGAAACATACATGTCTATACTCGCAATACTTCAGAGCCGTGAGCTGAGAATTGAGTGCTCTTGTTCACTTCGAACTTTCTTCAAGAGCGGTCACTGCTGTCTTAAATCTGGTGATGTACCACGACAACCCCCGTCAAAAAAGGAAGACTAACGAAATGGGGGAAAATAGCCCGTTTCCGAACGCTGTCCCTCGTTTGACGTACGCTCATCTGTTGTACATTTTAAGAGAACTAAGTCTTTCTAATGCTATTCAATACGTCAATATGGTTTTGGTCCAACCGATCAGCTCAGAACGGCGGGAGCCACCACAGCCATCTCGTGCTACTCTCGGTGTTCTAATCGCGCGGTTTTTGCTTGAATGTCGAAGGCGAAAAGTGAATCGCCTTAATTGTAGTTTCATTTTAAAGATGCCTTCTGGCACACACCGTTCGTGTCTGCCATTACAAAGTTTAAGGAGACAGTTATTAAGCACCGATACGCAAAACACCCGCGGCTCGGAATCCTTCTCAATTGATGGGCATGCAATTTTTTCGCAAATCAATGCTAAAGAGGCTCGAAAACTGAGTGAAACGAATTATACCCGTACTTTTAAAAGTGGCGCGTAAATTTGTCACTGATGAAATTTGTACAGAACCAAAGATATATTTTATAAAACTCCACCTCCAAGAAATACTTCTTGCAAGCATGTATAAATCTCAAAATGACTCCGATTCCCGCCAGCCTCTCGTGGACCAGTGAGAGAACGCGTGGAATATTACTCCAGTACATATATATAGAAACAAATATAATTTCAAATCCCCTCTCTCTCTCTTTCTCTCTTTCTATATATGTATATATATATATATATAGAGAGAGAGAGAGAGAGAAAGAGAGAAAGTTTATTTTTAAGATTTACAAATTTAAGGTTGAATCATGTACATTGTTCACTAGTGCCTCTTGAACAAATAGTTTATGTTTGAATATTTATAGTCTTTGTGGCTTTATAGGCCTTAATTCAATGCACCTCGATGTTGACTCACTTGGTTGTTGAGGCGTTCCTTTATTATTTTTATATTATCACAACCTTTCTTATCGGTAACTTTGTCCGCCACTCCCTGCTTACATATATGCGGC